TTTCGATTGTTCTTTTGCTCAATTCAAGCTCTTTGACTTTAAGTTCTTTTGACATTACGATCGCACTTGATTTATTGGAATGTGGAGTAGAGACCAGAAATCTCAAGTAAGAGACTTATCCTTGATGGAGTGGCCTATTCGGATGTTAAAAAGGATATCCAATTTTTTTCTAATTTGAAATTCTGCCAGTGCGCATAAAGGCAAAAAAGTTTGTCATGAGATCGTTGTTTCTGAAATGGTGGTGGCGGATGTGGCCTGGAAGGGGTTGGCAGATACGGTGGCAGGGATAGACGTTAAAATTTTGGGTAATACTAGAGAGATCAAATTTTAGACTAAATTTTGTAAATCATACGATGTAGTTGTTGATGATTAGCTTATTACTTAACCATTGATTAACGTGATTATTTCTTATGAATGACACATCATATAGTTTGCAAATTTGGTCTAAAAAAATTGGTTTACTTATCATTACTCTAAAATTGTAGAGAAACAACGCACTACTAATTAATCACACTAATGCCGTATTTAATTTGCATTTCCCATATGTATACTAGACACTAAGTGTGAGGTTCTATAACCAAAGATCAACAGTGTAACAATTAGTAGTAGAACCTGTCATTATATTGTTAAGTCATTGTCAAGTTTTCAATGTGAGACTTTCTACATTCGTCAAAAGGCCTTCTCACGCTTGCAACCTATTTATACATCAGCCATTGATCTTCTATTTTTTAAGGGTAGTAATATAATTCGGGCTTAGTCAATGTGCCCACTTTAATACCATATCAAACAATTGTTTTTGAGAATTTTTCTTGTACACTGAACCGAAACAGCCTATTCAATATACCTTTAAATTTGGCTCTCCATTCTAATGAAATCATGTGTACAAAACGAGCCATATGTTCTTATAGGCAGCCTTTTTTTTTAAATATATATTTACATACAGAAGTGTGTGCCTTTCATCTAATATGAATTAAATTAGAGTTCTGCAAAGCAAAAGAGCATAAGCGCACGAGAAGAATATAACATTCAAAACAGGATTCTTTTTTTCCCCTGATCCTTTCATATTCTTCCAGGGTTCCACCTCCCAAACTTTATTGCTCAGCGTACTTTTGCCAAAAGGAAAAAGAAAAATGATTTTTGCACACCAAAGGTTTTTCCTTGCACTTGTTTATTCTAAGTGATGACACCATAATACATGGTTTAAGAGCATTTGTAAATGCATAGGTAAATTTTTACTTTGATGGTATGTGCCACTTCACTTTCATCATTTGCCATGTCAAATATTTTTATTATATACTCACTTTACTTTCAATAGGCATGTTAAATTGCCAATAGACTTGTCAGTCAGTCATGCCTCGATTTGAATCAAGTATAATTAATAAGACATTGAAAATTAAGGGAAAAAAAATCAAAATATGGGGTTGAGTTGCTGATCCCAATTCTATATAATATAATTTGGCCAAATTTTTTCATGATTCCCGTGCTGACATAGCATTTTCAACGTAACTTTTATGGTGAAAAAGTTGTTAACTAAACCTTCCTTCTAAGTCATGTTAGCAATTTAAGTCCAAACCCAAACTTCCGTTAATTCTATTAAACAAACTCACGTGAGCTATCAATATCATGTGTAGGGGTCAAATTTGTCATTTCAATTCAAATTACATCTCATATTTAATGAGTGGTGATATTCCCACCCCGGTGTCTTATTTCCCCACCCACCATTTAATGAAAATGTTAATAACATATTTATCATTTTAAAAGAAGACTATTAAATCCCTATTTAATTCAGTACTAAAATTTTGAAAATAAAATAATAATTTAGAATAATAAATAAATAATGGTGGGTGGGTGGGGTGTGATATCTTTGGTGGAAAGAGGTTGGGAAAGATTTGGGTTAGAATCGACGGAAAGGTTGGAGGAAGGAATGGATGTGTGCTAGATGAAAGCGAGAAACTTCAATGGAGAAAAAAGAGAATTGGGTGTGAGATCTGCAGTTTTGACAAAAAAGGAGGAAGAAGAGTGGTTTGAGGATTCGAGGTCTGTGCAGAGCGGCGTTAGGTGTGAAGGAGATGATGAATGTCTAGGTCTTAGGTCTTGCATTTTCTTTCATTTTATTTTTATTTTTATTTCTTTATTTATAATATTATTTAAAGATATATTAGAGTTATTTAAAAAATATATATTATGATTATTTTGGGAATAATGGTGTGTGGGGAATTAATATTTTACTTTTTTAATTTTCTATGGTGGGTGGGATTATCATGTGGGTGAGAAAATAAGATACCGGGGTGGGTCTAGTAGCACTCTATTTAATTTGGTGATCAATCCCATGAAAATTTGGTGGACAACCACTTTTTTCTCCATCGCTAGCTCTTGAAATATTGAGCATTCAAATGGTGAATGTGTTTGATCCATCGCCAAGTGATGGAGGAGAAGAAATGGATCGTCCACCAAAGTTCTACGGGATTAATCACCAAACCAAACATAAGATGTAACTTGGATTGAAACAATGAATTTGACCCGTTCACGTGATAGTCAAGTGAGTTTGTTTAATAATATGTAGAGTGTAAATAAAACAACTTCCTTCCTCCACCCCCACAATTCTCAACACTCAACTTTGTCAGCTGCTGTAAACCTTTGGCCACAGAGGTTGGAAAGATATTATTCAAACTCTCACACGAATCGATCTCTACTAAATCTAGATTTGGACACTCAAAAGTTGTCAACTGAGTGGTAGATGTTTTCTCAAAAGATTTCAGTTGAACTACCAATTGTAGTGACTGGCAGTGCCATATCTACAAGGTGTCTGGATTATTCAATCTTCCCCTTATACTTGGTCGTGTCGTATTAATTGTCATCAACTGAGGTAAACCGTAGATGATCAGTCTCTCCAAGTTAGCAAATTCGACGACCTACACACACACACACAATAATCTATTTTAGTGCCGTAGATTAATCGGGAATAAATGCATAAAGAAGGAGAAATGCATGAATAATAATCCCCTTACATCGAAAAGAAAAAGGTAATGCTAGGTAGACTAAAATTGTAAACTAAATTATGTATCACTAATAAGAAATAAGTACATTAATCAACATTTAAGTAATAATTCGATCATCAACTTCCATGTCATTTAGTTTATAAAATTTAGCCTGAAAATTTAGGTTCCCTAGCATGCCCAAAATAAAAATATTGTAAAGCAATCTTAAGATTCTTCTTCCACCCCGTCTCTTCAGTTTCTTTGTATTTTGGAATATTTTCACTCTTTTCAAAATCTGACGCCAGGCGGGAATTGGTCAATTATAAAAGTTCACGAGATGATTATCTAAAATTAAAGTTTAAGGGAAAAATTAGCCAATTATAAAACTTTAGGGGGCAATTTGCTAAATTTAGGTGCAAGAGGGAAATTTTAGTACAACGATATATTTTACACTATGGGAGGGGGAGTTTGGAAGCCACACAATAGGCAACCTAATTTGGTATAGGTGCAAGAGGGAAATTGACCACTACAAGTTCGGAAGGATGATCGACAAATACCTCTTATCTCTACTAATTAATAAAACACTCATTGTCAACCAAAACCCTATGAAATTACTAATTTAACCCTTTAATTAAAACAGAACATGAATAAGAAATATGGAGCAGAAATGTAATTTCACACAACCAAATTTTGCTTTTTTTTTTTTCAAAGCCTCACCTACATGTAATCCTAACATATCTTTAATTAAAAAAAATTCAAAAAAAAATTAAAATTTCAAAAAAAAAAAGCAGCATTCCCACTCCCACATTCTCTATCACTCTCTTTCTCTCTCCTTCTATTTTAAAAACAAAAATAAAAAAAAATTCTCACATGCTAGGGTTAAAGGATAACTAGCTATAGATCCAATTTTGTGAGCCACTAGTAGAATTAGTCCACTTCGTTGAAATAGGTCCAATAATTAAGATTCCATGTATGCTTATTTGTGGTTTGTACCATATTTACCCATTAGGCTTATGAATTGTTATATATACACAAAATTTCTTAATTATGAGATTATTTGTTGTTTAACTAAGCCCTTAATTGTAGGATTAGTTATAGCCATATAATCACCTCAACCCCTAGTCCGTTTCATCCCACCTTTTTTCCTTCTTCCAAACAATTCCCTCTATCAATCCTCCTCTTTTTTGTCTCTTCCTTTCATGGGTGATATTTTTGTGTTCTTCCCTCCAAATTCATTCCTTTAATGGAGGTATATTATATCATATTTATATTTTTATGTTCCGCCATGTAGGTTCCTAGCATTTTTCTTCCAATACAATAGGTAGTTTATTTTTGTTTTGTAGGTAGATTATATTTGCTTTGTAGGTATAAAGCATTTTTCTTCCTATACAATAGGTAGGTAGTTACTAGATTATATTGGTTTTGTTTTCTTCATAAATAGCAGGTAGTTACTAGATAATATTTTAGTTTGAGTATTTAAATATTCAAAATTTAAAAACTGAATAAATGATAAAAAAAAATTAAAGAATTTAAATATTTTTATCTGAAGGGGCAAAATTGATATCAAAATATGTAATTGAATAACTGGACTCAGTCCCAAAAACTACCTACGTTTTTAGACCTAGATCTAAAAGCCCCTGGTTTTAATTAACGGAGTGGGAAGACGCTTCCTAATTTACGTTCCTATATTTAACAAAATTAGGGTTTTCTACGGACCAGAAAACAAAGGGAAAAAAAAAAAAGAAACAAACAAACAAACAAAATTAGAGCTTGGCTGCGTTCTTCTTCGAATTCATGAAGTTCCAGACTCTGTACGTAGGACCAATGAAGTTGGAACCACATCCGCGCATTTGAGCCCTCACATGTTCCTACTGGCTTGTGCGATTAGGTACTTCGAAACAGCTTATTAATTCCAGAATCTTCGTTTCGGTTAATTGATGTTTCAGTGTTCAATTGAAAAACGTATTTCATGGAACGCAAACTGAAGGTATTGGGCTACCCAAGTCTTATTGAGAGTATGACATGGTAGATAGATTCAGCGATCTCCCCAACGGAGTTGCTTATCGCATTCTTTCCTTCCTTACTATAAGGGACCTCACTTGTTTCGGCATTGCGTCCAAAAGATGCAGAGCACTTTATCTGTCAATTCCGTCATTGGAGTTACGTGATTTCTTGCCAAAGACAACTCCCACGGGCGAGTTTAGGTTTTTCAGCCACACAACGTGTGAGTTTAGGTTGAGGTTGTTCAGTTCATTGGATAGGTTCTTGCTTCAGCGTGGTGATAATAGGATAAACTACTTCGGTATTTATTGGAATGGTCACTCTGACCTAGGCAGTGATCGAACACCATGCTTCTGTGTTAATGTGCGTTCCCAAATAATCGATTGGATTCACAATGCAGTGAGGTGTAATGTTGAAGTTCTTTGTGTTTCGAGCAACTTAAAAGATTTTTTGGTGGAACCGTTAGCATTTCCTTGTGATGTCTTTCTTTGTGCAACTTTGAGGTCTCTATGTGTGAACATGGATGGTACAATTGTTAAAACACCTTCCGTTTCTTTCTCTTCTAATATTGAATATTTAGAGTTAATCAATGTTGATATAGAAGATGAGGGGTTTTTCAAATGGATCTCATGTTCCTGCAAATTCATCAAGGAATTAATTCTATCTGATGTTGGTCGAGTAGAAAATATCATAATTGAAAGCTCGTCTTTGGAAAAATTTGAAGTTTACGACCATTTTTATGACGGTATTTGTACACTTAGCCATCTTACCATCTCAGGCAAGAAACTTGAAACCATAGCTATATGGTGGAGCTTTGATTCGCATAGTGGCACGTCGTTAAATATGTATGCTCCAAAACTTAAATATTTAGAATGGAGAGGGCATCTGACGAATCAGGCAAACTTGGGACAGCTAGAATGTTTAGAAAAAGCTCTTATTTGCCTGGAGCCAAAAGCAGATGACTCTGACAAACAGATTAAGCATTTTTGCGTTTTACACAGGGTTGAACATCTTGTTTTAAATGCAGCGACCTTCAAGGTAATAAGAACCACGATCCTTCATACTGAATATTATTTTCCGGTGAAAAACTATATATTTTGTTATTCGAATTTTTTTTCTCTCTTTACATTTCAGTTTAAACAGGATTGCAATGCTTTTACGTTAAAAGCGGTCTCACTTGCTATAACAAAATGAGAAACATGATATAGGTTTTGCTTTTTTCACATTGCAGGCTTTGTTCAGGGAAGGATCCGCGCATGCTCAATTCGATCATGTTTTTAATTTGCGATTGAATCTAAGGAGGTTTTCTGATGATATATTTCCTGCAGTGGTCTCACTATTGAAAGGATTGCATAATTTGTGTACTTTGTACATAAGTTGTGTTGTCCCAAGTTTTCTGCAACCTCAACGTGATGTAAGTTAAGTCTATGATTTCCTTTCTTAATATCGTAAACCTCCATCTACTCATGAAGAAAAATTCAGTCACAACTTGGGCTAGTTCTATTAGTATTAAACTCCATGTTGTAATAAGGAATAATTTATTTCCATTTGTTTTAAGAAACTGTCTTCACATTGTAAAAATTGTCAAAATTAAACCAAGAAATATGAAATGTCACAATATACGTTTTAAGATGAAAATCAAATAATTCTCTAAACTAAAGTATGCAGTGTCCTAATGTTTGTTTAGGTCCCGTTTTAAGATAAACTTGTCTACACATGGTAAAAATTTTCGAGAATGATTCATTCTTTAGAGTTTTTGTCACGTCTTTGAGCTTGCGAATATGTATTAACTTGTCAACATGGACACCTTGTTGGTGAAGCCAAACTGTTACTAGCTTCTCAAGCATGTTTAACCACACATCAATCAACTAATAAGCTCCTTATATTAATAAAATTGGGTTGGTCCCAATATTACTATAGAGAGGTTTTAAGGTATTTCATTTGGCTTCTTATTTTTTGGAAATTTTCGAATTGGTTGCTTGTTGTCTTCTTGCTGTTCCAGGTATCTGGGTTTGATAAGGCATACTGGAAGCTACAGAATCTGGATTTTGTTGATCAGATTAAGAAGGTTACCCTAGTGCTGGATGGGTCTAATAATGGGATTGACTTTGCACGGTATATACTCGAGCATGCCAAGAACCTGGAGCAAATGGACATACAATATTTATTGAATCCGTCTGACGATGCTACACAAAAGCTAAATGAAAGTAAGAAGATGTCCAAGGCCACAGTTATCTTTGAGGAAGACTTTGTGGAAGACTCCGATAAAAACTTGGAAAACTTCGATGAAGACTTCGAGGAAGACTAAAACTAAATCAACAAAGAAAGAAGTTTTGATGTTTTTCAGAAGTTGTTTCATGCTATAATATTGAAACCTTACGTTGATATGCGTTGTTTATTCTTATTGACTGATCAGAGTGGATTTCTACCGTTTTAGATTGTCATAAATCTTATTTTCGATTGTTCTTTTGCTCAATTCAAGCTCTTTGGCTTTAAACTAGAGGAATAAAAAATGAAGAAAATATTTATTCCAAGGAATTGAGATAGTTGTAGAGAGAGACGGCACAGAGAATTCATTTTTATTGTTCTTAGATGTCTTTTTACATGAGAGTAAGCAATTTTTCTTTGGTTGGGGGTGGGGTGGGTAAAAATAAAATAATAATAATAATACTAAATATTGTTATAAATATTATATTAAAGTGTAATTTTGTAAATCCTAAATAGATTTGGTTACTAGTTATTCTTTTCATATAGTGTTGTATTTACTTGGACGACAAGTAATTCATCTCCTCTTTTATGAATTTAGAAAGCAATGACAAACGCCCCACACTCTGAACTCTGAAGCACCAGTTCAATCAAGGGCACCCCAAAATCAACAAAACTAGGGTTTGTCGCGCTCAGTATCTGCAGAACTCAGAATGATGGAGACGCATCCACCCATTTCCGCTCGCACAGTCACCCACTATTACTAGTTAGAGTATGCTTGAATTCTGTTGGGTACCACAATGGTACGTACTCCGTGTACTCACCGTACTTTTCTTCAATTTTGGTTCAGCATGTAAAGATCACAACTTAATTGGAGTTTTTAGTGTTTAATTCCAATTTCTCAGTAGTATTAATCGAAACGCATCCCTCCAAAAGAAATAAGTTATTGGCTACTGAAAGTTGTGATGGTGAAGGAGGTTGTAGTGGGAGGACGGCAGACCTATCTGGTAACCTTCCAGACCAAGTTGCCGATCACATTCTTTCCTTCCTTGCTATAACGGACCTCGCTCGTTTCGTCTGTGTGTCGAAAAGATGCAGAAAACTTTACCTATCAACTCCTAAGTTGGTTTCTGATGAATTTTCGGAGGCGAATGCGTCCGAGTGTAATCAAAGGCTAAAGTTGTTGAGTTATTTGGATAGATTAATTTCTCACCGCGGGGATAATAGGATAGAGTGCTTTCGTTTTCGTTGGTATAAACACAATGCAGACAACGGTGACGAAACACCATGCTCCTGTGTTCATGAGAACTTTCGGATGCTCACGTGGATCCAGAATGCAGTAAGGTGTAATGTCGAAAAGCTTGATCTTGATATGACTTTATATGATTATGAGGAGGAACTGTTTCCGTCTTGCATCTTCCTTTGCAGATCTTGGAGGTCTCTAGTGGTGAACATGAATTGTACAATAGTTAAAACTCCTCGCCGTAATTTTTCCTCTAATCTCAAGTACTTGGAGTTGGGATATGTCCGTGTAGGAGATGAGGATTTTTTCAAATGGGTCTCATGTTCCTGCAAATGCATTGAGGAATTTGTTGGGGTTTAAAAATGCTTCATTACTTTGGAGATGTTTATCTCACAAAGGAGAAAATAATGCAGCGGAATTTGATAGGCAAGAGAAAGAAAGAACACTCAAAGTGTTATACAAATTTTTTTTATTCTCACACAAACTTAGTACAAGAGAAAACACTCAAACACTCTTACACTTCTTCACTCTTTTTCTCACTTCCTCTACATTCTTACATAGCAATACAATCTCTATTTATAGCCTTGATTAACCAACTCACCATGTCGGTGGAATTGGACTAAATTCCTCCTAGCCACAAGTTTTGTGGTTCTAGATATTTCTGCTTGCAAGCCTACTTAAATATTGCAAGAACTCGCCAGATTTTTTAGTATGCATGCCTAATGCACCGACAACCTTTTGCTAGAATTTTCTAGCACATTTCATGAGTTTTCTATGGGCTAGATCATCTTCTTGGGCCAAGAACAAGATTACAATTCAACATCCCCCCATAATCTTGTCTTGTGATGCCGATTGAGTTCCTTAATCTCACAAAGTCTTCTTGTTTGAGTGGCTTGGTAAATATGTCTGCGATTTGGTCTTGAGACTTCACGTATTCCACTTGCACATCCTTTCTTGCAATGCACTCTCTTATGTAGTGATAACGGGTATCTATATGTTTGCTCCTGTTATGGAATACTGGATTCTTTGCTAGGGCTATTGCAGACTTGTTGTCGATATAAATCTATGTTGGTTCTTTTTGCTGCATGCTTAATTCTTTGAGCAAGTTTCTTAGCCAAATTGCATGACAGACGCATGCGGTAGCAGCTACGTATTCAGCTTCGCAAGTAGATAGTGTGACAATTGGTTGCTTCTTCGACATCCATGTGAATGCAGTGTCTCCCATGAAGAACACAAATCCAGTAGTGCTTTTTCTATCGTCGGAATCTCCTGCCCAATCACTGTCGCTATATCCAACAAGTTTGTAGTTATCAGAACTTGAATAGAACAAGCCAAAGTTAACAGTACCTTTGAGGTCTCGAAGAATTCTTTTGACGGTCTTCAAATGTGTAGTTGTGGGGTTCTCCATGTGGCGACTGACTAATCCGACGGCATAGAGAATATATGGTCTTGTGCAAGTCAAGTAGCACAAGCTCCAACTAGACTTTTGAAAAATGTTGGATCTCCGCTTTCTCCTTTGTCATGCTTGGTTAGTTTGACTCCGCACTCCATTGGCGTGCTTACGAGCTTGCAGTCGTCCATTTTGAACTTTTTTTAGTATCTCCTTTGTGTAGCTTTCTTGGGAAATGAAAATTCCTTCTTCGTTCTACTTGACTTCAATGCCTAAGTAGTATGCCATCAGCCCGATGTCCATCATCTCGAATTCTTTGGTCACCACTCTCTTGAACTCTTCAAACATACGTGGATTACTTCCGGTGAAGATTAGATCATCCACATATAAGCACACAATCAAAACATCTTCATCTTTGACTTTGACGTAGAGAGCATGTTCATGAGGGCACTTGGTGAAGTTGTTCTCCTGGAAGTGCTTGTCGATGCGACTATTCCATGCTCTTGGCACTTATTTAACCCAAAGAGGGCTTTTTCCAGCTTCAAAACTTTGTCTTCATGCCCTTTGATTTCATAGCCTGACGGTTGTTGAATGTAGACTTCTTCTTCAAGTACTCCATTTAGGAAGGCGGACTTCACATCCATTTGTTGAATCTTCCAACTATTTTGAGCTGCCAAAGAAATTAGTAATTGTATAGTTTCCAACCGAGCAACGGGTGCAAATACCTCATCATAGTCGATTCCGGCTCTTTGACAATAGCCATTCGCCACAAGTCTCGCCTTGTATCTTTCGACCTTTCCATTGGCATTTTTCTTTGTCTTGTACACCCACTTGACTCCGATGGCTTTGTGTCCTTCCGAAAGAATAACGAGTTCCCATGTATCATTCTTCTGGATTACTTTAATTTCTTCATCCATTGCTTTCCTCCACTTACTATCTTGCACTACTTCTTGGAAGTCAACTGGTTCATAATCAGGAAAGAGACAGAAGAAAAGTGTAGGATTATCAAGTCTTTCAGCTACCTCATAGAGATCTCATATACTTCTTGTGCGTGGTACTTCTCTTTCATTTCGACTCCCACTTGACGATGCTGGTGGATTGCCATGATTGGTTGATATTGGTGAAGCAAGTGGAGTAGTGGATTCTTGTTGAACCTCTATTGTTTGCTCCATCATCCCTTGTTCATTATTTTCTTTAAACTAAGGAAAGAAGTGAAGATCACCTGCATGTGAGCCAAAATTTCATTCTCCTTCTTCATCGAACGTCACGTCTTGACTGATCACCGTCTTCCCATTGTTTGGATTATACAGCTTATAGCCTTTTGAATTTGTGTCATAGCCGGTGAAGATGAATTTCTCACTTTTGTCGTCGAGTTTGGTTCTCTTCTCGTCTGGTACATGTACATGGGCTATGCCTCCAAAAACTCTTAGATGAGAAATACCTGGTTTTCTTCCACTTCATGCTTCTTGCGGAGTTTTTCCCCACACACTTCTTGTTGGAGACCGATTGGATAGGTAGATAGCACATGCTACAGCTTCTGCCCATAATTCCTTAGGCAATTTCTTGCTTTTGAGCATGTTTCGAGCCATGTCGAGGATGGTTCGATTTTTTTCTTTCCACCACACCATTTTGTTGAGGGGATTTTGGAACTGTCAAAGGTCGACAAATTCCCTTTGCTTCACAAAACTCTTGAAATTCATTCGAAGTGAATTCTCCTCCTCGATCAAATCTCATGGCTTTGATCTTGCAACCACTCCCCTTTTCTACAACAGCTTTGAACTTCTTGAATGCTCTAAAGACTTCTGATTTCTGCTTCAAGAAATACACCCAGGTTTTCCTTGAAAAATCATCAATGAAGAGAAGGAAATAATTATTTTTACCCAAAAAGCTTGGTTTTATTGGACCGCACACATCGGTGTGAATGAGCTCGAGTGGCTTCTGGGCTCTTGTGGTCGACTCCTTTGGAAAGCTTTTCCTGAACTGTTTCCCAAGTAAACATCCTTCACAAACTTGATCAGGGTGGCTGATGCACAGTAAGCCTCTCACCATCTCATTCTTAGGTAATAACTCCAATCCCCCAAAGTTAAGATGCCCAAAACGAAGATGCCAAAGCCAAGATATGTCTTTGTAACATATCTTGAGACACTTTGCAACATCGTTTTGACTGTTCATGGGAAACATCCTATTCTTTGACATTTTTTCCTTGGCAATTAATCTTCCTTTGTCATCTCTAAGAAAAAGGCTATAATTTTTCGTATGAAAATCAGAACCTTTTTCTAAGAGTTGACCCAAGCTCAAAATGTTGCTTTTTCATATTGGGCACGTTAGTAGACATTTGAAATTAATTGGTGACCGCCATTTTTCAAGGGAATAAGGATGTTACCTTTTCCTTTTACGGGTATTTTGGATTCGTCTCCAAAAGAATCGTTACCACTCACTGATTCATTGAGCTCTACGAAGATGCTTCTTCTTCCACACATGTGATTGCTGGCATCGGTGTCAAGGTACCATGTATAGTCTTGGTCTCCATCATTGTTCTTGCATGCTAGTAGCACAACGCCATTCTCTTCTTTCTCTTCTTTCACATAATTGACCTTCTCATCAAGTCTGCTATTTGGAGCTCTACATTCCCAAGTATAATGCCCAAACTTTTGACAATTATAACATTGAACTTGAGATTTTTCATACCTCAAGTTTGAGCGTCCTCTTCCACAACCTTTTGTTGACCTTCCTTCTCTTTCGTAGTTGCGATGGTTGTTGAAGTTCCAACTATGTCCACGTCCATGTCCACGTCCGCGACCTCAGCCACGACTTCTTTCGTACTAGCTTCTCTCATTGTCGAAGCTTTCTTCTTTCTTCTTTGGTTGGACATGCGTCTTGAGGAGCTGCTCATCATTCCCTTGCCTCTTCTTATGTTTCTTTTCATATGCTTGTAACGAACCCATTAATTGCTTTATACTAATTTCTTCCAAGTTTTTAATTTCTTCATCGTCACGACAGTGTGCTCGAATTTGGGGTCCAACGAGCATAGTATCTTCTCCATATTTCTAACATCTTCTAACTTTTCTCCATTTCTTTTTAATTGATTGGAAACAGCTAAGACTCTTGAGAAATAATCAGAGATTGATTCAGACCCTTCCATTTGTAGAGATTCGAACTCACCTCTTAATACTTAAAGGCTAACCTTTTTCGCTTGTTCGCCTCCTTTGTCAGAGGTTTGAAGCTTCTTCCATGCTTGCTTGGCAGATGTTGCACTCGAGACCTTCTCAAAGCCATTGTCATCTAATGCTTGGTAGATGAGGTAGAGAGCCTTCTTGTCTCTCTTTCTTGAATCTTTCAAACTCTTCTTCTGGGGTTGAGACAGAGTAGCTTCATCTTCTGGCTCAGTGTAGCCTTTCTCCACAACTTCCCAGACATCGTGTGCACCCAAAAGGGCCTTCATTTTGATACTCCAATTATCGAAGTTGTTGTCGAGCACTGGAACTTGGAAGGCTGCCATAGCGTTGCTAGCCATAGCTTTGGTACCACTTTGTTGGGGTTTAAAAATGCTTCACTACTTTGGAGATGTTTATCTCACAAAAGAGAATGTAATGCAGGGAATTTGATAGGTAAGAGAAAGAAAGAACACTCAAAGCGTTATACAAATTTTTTTATTCTCACACAAACTTAATACAAGAGAAAACACTCAAACACCCTTACACTTCTTCACTCTTTTTCTCACTTCCTCTACATTCTTACATAGCAATACCATCGCTATGTATGGCCTTGATTAACCGACTCACCATGTCGGTGGAATTGGACTAAATTCCTCCTAGCCACAAGTTTTGTGGTTCTAGATATTTCTACTTGCAAGCCTACTTAAATATTGCAAGAACTCTCCAGATTTTTTAGTATGCATGCCTAATGCACCGACAACCTTTTGCTAGAATTTTCTACCACATTTTATGAGTTTTCTATGAGCTGGATCATCTTCTTGGGCCAAGAACAAGATTACAATTCAACAGAATTACATCTTGAGAACATTAGTGGGACAGAAACTATCACCATTGAGAGCTCGTCATTGAAAAAGTTACATCTTTCTAATTACCGTAACGAAATTTGCCATATTAATATCTCAGGTGAGAAACTTGAAGACTTAACTATTGCCTGGGTGTTTGATTCACCAAACGAAAATTCCTTAAGTATTTGTGCTCCAAATCTTAGGGATTTGAAATGGGTCGGAAATCTGATGAACCGCCTAAAGCTGGGAAAATTAGAACGCTTATTTGCTGCCGGGGTTTTATTGCAGCCCGAAGTAGACGACTCAGACAATGCGTTTGAGGTTCTTTGCAGTTTATGCAGGGCTAAGTGTCTTGTTCTAAAGTACCATAACCTTTTAGCCTGATAATTTTTCTTGGCAAAGACCAACCTTTTCAATTTATTTTTATAACAGTTTCATTAACTAGATGAAATTCATTTTTATGCTACGTTCTGTCGAGGAACATGAAATTTAGATGTGTTAAACATGCATTTTAAATCTGCAGGCTCCATTTAAGAAAGGATCCAGACAAGCTTTATCATGCGATGCACTCTCGTTGTATCTGAGCATCGGAAGCACTCAAACACATCTCTCGACAACCCTAAATCTAATGTAAGTTATCTGTGCTGCTACTTGCTTCAGTAGCGTACTCATCCCGTTCAAACTGCGTAACCTTATACAGATTTGCTTGTTGCCGTTCCTGCTTTGCAGACATTTGGGTTCAATGTAAAATATTGGAAGATGCAAAATCTTGCTTTTATTGATCAGCTTGCTGTGGTTCTAATGGAATTGAGTTAGCTACGTATGTGCTCGAGTGTGCCCCAGATTTGCAGGAAATGGTCGTACTTTTGTCACCGCAGCATATGGCGAAAGTTACGAGTCTTACAACAACGTTGGTGGGATGCAATAAGATTTCCAGTGCCGAAGTTATCATTCGGGAAAAGCAACCAAGAGAAGCAAAACATGGGTTTTAATTGTATGTAGATGTCACAGCCTCAGTTCTCGGAATTTATCCGGCAATGTTAATTAGCTCTGCTGTATACTTGCGTTCGTCTTTGTGCTCTGTTTTAGCAAAGTATCGGGTGGACGATCGATCGTCCGTATCAACTCGATGGAATGCATATGGGCATGGGAATTACATTATTTTCATAGATACGATTAACATGTTTTTTAGGGTATACAACTAACAAGGACATCCATCCACACTCATTGGTAATATAATTAGATTGATATTTTTGGAGAAAGTTGTTTATATTACAAACAAGTAATTTGAATTGCATAGCCAGAGTGCCTTTGCTTTCCATTTTTCTGAATTATTGTTGAAAAGAGCGACCTGGAATCCTGTATGTAACGCAAAATCAGAAAATCTCGCTTGGGCATGATCCATGTGTATGCCACTGCTTGTTGCCATGGTAATCGGGTCACGAGCCCCATGACACATGCTGACCAGCCAAGAGACTCGAGCGAGTTACCTCTTCAAGTTTTCCGTCACCTAAAAGGAACACTCGTTTAGCCATCAGTATCGTTTCTAACCGATGGGCAATCACCAGGACCTGTTAATAAGCACAATATCTGATCCATTAAGGTTCAACATATCTGCAAGTAAAAGCACGGAATGTATGCATGCACAGAAACATTATGTGAGATGCAACAGGCAGTGCAGTAAGTGTTTTTTCACTACCATTGCTCAACAAGAAATTTTTTCGTTGTTTCTTTGTTAAAAACAGATGGTAATGGGGTATCGCTGCAGTTGCACACACACAAACATAACTAGATAAAAGATTGTACTGCAGTTAAATCAGTTGAAAAATAATAAGATGTGGGAGGAACAGAGGGCATGCTAGGCAGATAGGATGTGCTGATACTTACCGTATGATTTTCCATCAAGCGTTGGACAGCTTCTCGGACCAACAACTCAGACCTGCTATCCAAAGCAGAAGTGGCTTCATCCAAAATCAATATAGAAGAATTCTGATAGAGTGCCCTTGCAATAGCTAGTCTGCATTCGAGGAGAGAAAACAGAGAAGTTTATTAACAAACTTTTGGTGTATTTAACATGTAAATCACCATATTCAACGTGAGCTTTTTTTTTCGGCTGAACCTAGCAATCATACTAAACATCAACATTTGGATCATGGTTGCTTCACCTTTGCTTCTGACCTCCACTCAAACTTGAGCCTCTTGGTCCTATATTGGTTTCATACCCTTCAGGGAGGTTTCTAATAAATTCATCTGCATTTGCAGTTCTCGCTGCATCCTCGACCATTTTCATGTCAATATTTGTCATGAGATCCTTATACCCAATATTTTCAGCGACTGTTCCTGAAAATAGTGTCTAACAAAGACAAAGTTCATTGTATGATTATTTGAAATAATAAAACAAACAGCGTGAGATAATTGAAAAACTTTTTACTCAAATCATTCTAAGCATAGAAGTAGAAGGAAGATTTTGTGTTTTAGCCCTTGTAACGAAATTTTATTGTTTCTTTTGTGGACAAAAAGAAAGAGAGACACCAAGAGATATAGATATAGGTCACTCACGATATCCTGACAAACGAGGCCAACGTGTCTCCTTAAACTTGTCAACTTGACGTCTTGGATGCTGTGGTTATCAATAAGTATACAACCTGTAAAACAAGAAGAACCCATATGGTGCCTCCAGATTTAATATGCAGATTCATAAATGAACAAGAAAATGCTCATGGCAGCAGAATCGATAAACATAATTCCGAAGAGCTCACCTGATACAGGATCATAAAGTCGAAGAAGTAGTTTTGCAAGGGTTGTCTTTCCTCCTCCAGAGGGCCCAATGAAAGCAACTGTCTCTCCAGCTTTAATATGCAGATTCAATCCATTCAAAACATAAGGCATATTGTCCCCGTATTTAAATGATACATCACAAAATTTGACCTCTCCTGTAACGCGGTCTAAATCAACAGCATCTGGTTTCTCCTTTATCTGTGTTCAGGAATAAATAATAGATGTCAAAGCAGCAAGAATAACAACTACACTGAACGATCACAATGTTGAGTTAAAAAGTAGAGTTAAGCATCTAGTCAAAGGCACAAAATAATGATTTATATATATTTACAGAAAGAGCATTCGTATTGCACTGGTGTAGAACTAATCTCAACGAATTTTATGTGTTTATGTATCTGAAACAGATAATTACACCAAAGATTCTCCACTTGAGTCTTTTGTTTAGGAAAAAAATTACCATCGATTTGAACCTGGTCAATTCAAACAAGCGTTCAATAGCTGGTTCTCCTTGCTTCAACTCATTGTATGCTTTTCCAACACCCTGCGCGATTCTTTAGATTCAGATTGATAACTTAGGACAGCTCCTCAACAGCTGAACAATAATAATAAATACAGAATGATCAGGAAATCAGCTTCAGACAACTGCAGCAAATTATTTACATCTCATAAGTGGACCAAAGCAGACTAAGTTAATAGTGTCAATTGAATTTCAAGAAACGTGAAATGAAGGACATAAAATAATTCTCCGAAATCCTATAAAAAATAATAATGCTCCAAAATATTAAGAAATCTAAAAAGACAATTTCTACATATCACTAACCAAGTTAAAAAAAAGCTATGGAATACGATTAAAACCCGCAAACTGAGTTAAGAAGGCTATATCACGTAATATTACCTGAATTGGCTCAACTAGAAAAACCAATGCCGTTACAAATGAAACCACGTCACAGCTGTCAAAAGTGCCGCGAGAAAACACCAGTGAACCAGCACACAACACAAACAACACTCCAAAATATATAATCTGTGTTATCTGAGGAATAAGCGCCTTCATCTTCTTCTTTTCCAAATGTGCAGAGAGGTCAGCGTAGGCAAACTTCCTAAACCTAGCATTCTCACACAACTCAGCATTGTTTGCTTTCACAAAAAGAATTGCAGGGAGGACCTGCAACGCAATAATATAAGAACTAACCACGATCCACCAGCCAATGACGAAGAAACTCCAACAAAGACGCGCATGCGCAGAAACCATAATGTTAATGCAAGAAAGAGAGTTGAGCACTCATGGAAGTATATACTATGGAGCAGGGTTATAATATAAGATATAGTGTATACCTCATTGAGATACGCTGAGAGAGCAGCAATGGTAAGTTGGGCCTTGTTAGATATCTTTCGGAGCTTCACACCGAGACGGACAATGACAAGAGCCATACATGGAATCACCTACCCATACTCCAAACCACAAAAGAGAATCAAACCACACTCAACCAAGAGCACAATAACTTTACGTGAACTAAACAAAATTACCAACTTAATTACCAGAGCTGAAATCAAAGACAGCAAAGGGCTGATAGACAACATCTGCGCAGCCATTGCTAACAACTGCAGAGCACTGGGTACAATGGTCTGCCATTCACAAAACCAATCAGAACCCACATAATCAACAAACATTTGGTAGGTGCTTCTCGAAAAAGCGCTTCTACGACCAAAAACACTTGTCAACTTTTCTGCTAGGCGCAGTTAGATTGTAAGAGCTTTTAGCCCCTTCAAAAGCAGTCCCAAACAGGTCCTAATAGTCGTTTTGTGAATAAAATCAATCATAGTACTTTACTCACATTGAGAAGAGCATAGACAGTGTCAGCAACATCCGCCGCCTCAGCAGTGATCCTATAAGCTACGTCTCCACTCGAAACACCGCCTGAGCCTTCAAAAAACCCCAAGTCACTCCCCAGAAACCTTTCAAACACTTCAGCCCGAACCCGGTAAACGGCGCTGAGCGCTGCGTCCCAGAGAAACGCCTGCTGCCAGTACACGGCAACAAGCCTGGCGAGCACCAAGACCCCCACGGCCAAGCCCTCGTTTCTCAACGCGGCGGGGTCCAAATTTCCGATAAAGGCTGAGAATTTGCCCATTTTGGTGACGGTTTTCGAAAGGGAGTAGACGGAGACGAGGCTGCAGAACCAGCCGAGGAGGATTGGGCGACGGTGGGAGAGAATGTATGGTTTGAGGGAGGTGATGGAGTGGAGGGTTTGAGAGAAAGGGTGGCGCTTTGTGGGGTTTGGTGGGGTGGTGGGGAGGAGGGAGGGAACATTTGTGGAATTATGCGATTTGAGGAGTGGGAGTTTGGGTTTGGGGAGAGGGGAAAGTACGTGTTGGGGTTTGAGGTGGAGGTGGAGGTGGAGGAAGAGGGGCGGAGGTGGAGGAGGTTTCAGAGAAATTAAAAACATTTTTGGGCATTTTTTGAGGAAGAAGAAGGTGGTTCGTTGGCCTTCAGGTTCAGCTCCAAACTTGAGACTCACTTTCGGGACACGGAAATAACTGTGCACTTTTGCTCACAACCGTGCTAATCCTTATTATCGTATAAGTTTAAATTTTAAAATTTGTATTAATCAAATAAATAGATATCAAAATTTGATTTCATTTAATGAAGAAAAATGAAGTAATGATATTTAAAAATAAATAGAATAGTGAACATTACCATCATTTGAGGGTGAGCAAAATTATTCTTCAAAAATAAACACAAATTTAAAGTTTTATTCCACGTCTTTATTCTATTGGTACGAGAAAATACGTGCATAACATGTTTATTCTCTCCTATTAAACTTCTAATGCCATGAAATTACATCACTTGCTCTAGCCCAAATGTATTCTCTATCGTTATTGAGAACAATGTTTTTTGACAAGTCGGCATTCTTTTTTTTTTTTAAGGTAATAAATATTCTATTAATCAAATATATCAAGAAGCATTATTGATTAATATAATTTTATGATTACAAATGCAACAAAAAGACAATACAAAACCTATCACACATAACCATATCAAACCAAACTAGAAGATACGCTCACGAGAACAAAATCTTGAAACACTTTGTGATGAACTTGCAAAAGATTGATGCTCACGAGGATAAAATCTTGAAACATTTTATTTAACATTCTTAAAAAATAAAAATAAAACAACAACAACAAAAATTAAGGAACACTGCGTTAGATTTCATGTTTCCTTACATAACTCATACAATGTATAGTTGATAGAGAATTTACCAAATCTACATCAAATTATCCGAAAAGTAGTTACTACCATGCAAGTTCCTTCATTCCAAAATAACACTAGAACAACAGAAGCAACGGAAGGGGCTGGAAATTTTTCCCATTGCTTCTACATCGCCCGGGCTTCGAAGTTCATTTCTCTCTCAATTTCTTGGTTAGGGCAAATATCGCCCCGACGACAGCCACAACCATAGCCGAGATTATAACGCTTGTCTTGACCGTCTGCGCTGCATCTTTCTTCTCCTTCTCCTTCTCCTTCTTCTCCTGCTTCCTCTCTTCAGCCTCTACTTTGTCCTTGAAGATGATAAGGCCAACATTATTCCCAAGACTGCACTACATATATATGAGAGGCACAAAAGAATAACAAGGTTTCCGACTTTTTTTTATGAAATTTGGTTGCTAAAAGTGTTCGTGTTAGCTTGAAATGTGTTGTTAACTGGTTCTAAGGTTCACTAACAAAGAACTTGACATGTAAGATTCAATAGCTGTCTAACATGTTATCAGAGCTTTGGTTACTGAAGATCATAGGATCAAACTGTCAACCGCATCACTTGCTTATCACTTTTTGATAAAACGATTTCCTACTTTGTAAACTTGCAATCATCTCCTTACTTTCATGTTGTTTTACACGAAAGAAAAACTACATCCATTCGAAAACTACATCTAACCAAATACAATCAGAGGACTGCTGATGCCCAAAATTGGCTAAAGCATTAACCGCTAAGTGCAACTTTGTATTCAATTATCAACAGCATCACAGTAAGGTGAGGAGTGCAAGCCTACAAAATATGATTGCGGAAATCATTAGGTACTCAAGTATGATTGTACATACAAAAGAACTGATTACAAACTTTTAATAAAAATGTACGAAGATCAAAAGTAAAAATCAACAATAAGCGGGATATAAAACACGTTTTGTGCTCCCTCTATTAAGTCCTAGATTTCCCGAGTTTTATTTTTTATTAAAAGTTTGTGGTTCCCTGTTTGTATTTGACAATACAAAAATTCAGGCGTTCAAAAAAAAAATATCACCTTAATTTCCTTCGAGGTAGTTACTAGAGATGATCCACTGTCTTCCTCAAAGTTCTTGTTTTCGCCTGGATTCAATTCTGCATTCACATTAGCCACTGGAAATGTCGAATCCGCCATTTTTTTCTCCAAACGATATAGAGTTTGTTCTTCCTTTCAAGTTATTGCTTTTCTTTCTTTGTTTCTATGGCCCAGGAGAGAGAAAATGTAAGGCAAGGACACGTGTCAGTACCTTTTCTTGGAGAACACGTGGTGAGTTCTTTAGGTTGAGCTGCAACGGTTTGTCATGTTTTTCTGGGTCTTTTAGGTTAACCAACCTACTTTTTTGTTTTGTGCTAAACTGTCCGTCAAAACCTCCGTGATCCACATTTAGAGGGCGCGGGAGAGAAATCTTGAGTGCTGATGTAGTGTGGGCTCCACAGACATTAACAGCATCACGATCATAAATCTCACATGCACATGAATGACTGACTGCAATATATTTAAGAGCGTTGCAACCGCAATGCATGAATTTCTCATTAATACAACGATAGATTGCGTACAGAAAAGTGAATATACAATGAGCTTGATACATTGCCTGCTGCAGGAACATCAACGCTCACAAAGTACAGCGATCACGAAGAATATGCATTATGCTTGTGCAGTCCGTGTAAAATACCAAGAGCTCGCATCTCATTGACCTGAACTCCCCTTTGCTATGCTCGCTCAGTTCCCGCCTCCGAAACCACGAGGACCAGGCCGAGATGCCGAGCCAACAAACTGCTTCCTTGAATCAGATCGTCGCTTCCGCCTTGCAGTGCCGGGAGGAGCCTGACAAAGGAAGGATCCCAAACCGTAAAAAATGTATCCACCAAGTAACAACAGTCTATGATAAATGCACAAAAAATGGTAAGTGCGAAAATGGCAAAACTAGAAGGCAGAGACATGTTCTACAGTTCAATGGCATGGCGCATGAATTACAGAGAGCGCATAAAAGTAACGGAAAGTAAAGCACCTTTTGTTCAGTTTTGAGAGATTCTTCAAGATTGTTCAGTGCAGGTATAGATCCACCTTCCATTACACCCATTAGATTCTTCATACGAACTCGCATTTGGAAGAGTTGAGCAACAAGTTGGCTCACCTGATATTGTCATCAATGAGAACATTACGGTTATACGTCGCAGTTGATTGTAAAAATGTGTGTGTGCGTGTGTGTTCAACATCCGCAACCCGCCTTTATGGGGAAGCTAATATGAGGAGATGTGAAACGTAGGTAGCCATTGCACATACCTGCTGCTCTGTTTTCCCGGACTCTTGAGCAACTCTTTTTCTCCTGGTTGAAGATTCTGCCAACAACTCTGGCTTCTCCCTTTCCTCTGTGATCAAAGATGAGAATCAGAAAGCCAAATATAACCCACAACGCACCATGAAGCATCTTAAGTATCATCATTGAACGGTAGTTTGAATAAATCAAAAGGAATAAAATACCAGGGGTCATCACTTCAATCATTGCTTCCATAATCTTCAGACTCTTCTCTGCTTCTCGAATTTGTGCAGGGGTAACCTGTTCGGTCAGACAAATTGGAAAGTTCAAGAATTAGATACAACCAAAAAAAGGAAGCCGCTGGATCTCAGCAACTATCAAATTTCAGGTCATAAGTAAACATGGAGAATAGCGACCAAACAGGCTTTCATACTTTGCCCATTCCAGGGATCATTCCAAGAACACGAGTCATGGAACCCATGCGTGCAACAGCACGAGTTTGCTTCAGGAAATCGTTGAAATCGAACTTTGCACTCATTATCTTCTTTTGCAAGTCTTCGGCATCTTCTTGTTTCATCTATAGTGACAACTCAATCAGAACTATATTCATATAAATATTCAGGGAATCTGTGGTGGAATTTACGAAGGGGGAAAATTGGAAAAACCCCACTTACAACTTCTTGCGCCTTCTCCACAAAAGAGAGAACATCTCCCATTCCTAATATGCGTCCTGCCATACGGTCAGGGTAAAAAGGTTCAAGGTCCTCCATCCTCTCTCCTCGCCCGACAAGCTTGATTGGCTTTCCTGATACCTGCCATTAACTCAATATTAGAAAATTGCAGAAAAGTATTTTCAGAAGCTTAACTATTTTTGCAAGAAGAGATGCTTCAAAATGCAATACTGCGTACTCAGAATGCTAAAAGGAATGCAAACATCTTATAGTGCACAAGGTATTGTTACACTCCAAGCATAATTTGAAAATAAAATTCTTGATAAATTATACAAACATTCTTTTCGAGATTTTCAAATCATTGTTTGTACCACAAATGCTTACCTTTAGGTTCGCATTCCCTTAAAATTTATAATGAATAATAAATGGGGCAGAACAAATGAGATTACTGTGACAAAAGTAAGGCAACAACAGGCAAACCTCTTTAACACTCAAAGCTGCTCCACCTCTAGAATCGCCATCTAGCTTTGTTAAAATAGCTCCAGTAATCCCAATCTCTACGTTGAATGTCGTGACTAAAGCTGCAAACTCAAAGAAAATAGTCAGCCTACTTTTAGGAAAAATCATACTTCCTTTTGTAGCATAGCAACATTACATTTTTTAACAATTGGTAACCGCAATTGCATGCACCAGATGTGTATTTCAAGTTTTGAATGCACTAAGAACATCAAATGGCATGCAAACTAATCACAATATAATTCAAATAAGCAATTGTGTCTATGAATCTCATAATTCAATTTAGATGGGTATCAATTTGGTACTTTATCTCGAACATTATGTAGTGCAACCAATTTCCAAACTCTTATGTGTACATAAACTACGAAAACAAATTCGACAGTAAAAACATGTTTGTTTTGCTTCTCTGTCTAGTTTTTGCAGCAATAACTGAAGAAAGGAAAAGAAAGTTCTGTATAATTGGGTGATTAAACTTGAAAATAAACTCAAAAAAATTGAACTAATCGGAATACCTGCAGCTTCTTGGCCAGTCATGGCATCCACAACAAGCAAAACTTCTGTGGGGTTCAATACCCGCTTAACTTCTTTCAACTCATCCATCATTCCTTTGTCTATCTGTTAAATGGAACAAAACGAAAAGATAAAGAAAATCCAGCCAAAAGTTAATATAACCCAGCAGTCGTTCACAAGATACCATCACAAAACTAAGTAATAATATGTAGAAGAGTTACCTGAAGTCTTCCAGCAGTATCCATTATTACTACATCTATGTTCTTCTTTTTGGCCTCCGCTAAACCTTGCCTAGCTATTTCTGAAGGTTTAGTGTCAGTCCCTGCTGTATATACAGGCACTTTTACCTGTTACAAGCTATAACTTTAACATAGGAATGAACGCGAACCAAAATTTTAGAACATAAGAGTCACTGGAAATGTAAAGTCGCTCACTTCATTGGCAATGAAAATTGTATACCTGTTCACCTAAAATTACAAGTTGGTCAATAGCAGCAGGTCTGTATACATCACCAGCGACAAGCATAGAACTCTTCCCCTGGGAGCGGTGTATGTCACCAGGTCAGAAAACGGAAAAAGTAAATTTTGCATAGTTCCAATGCATATAATAATGGTATGGAAAGAGGGATATGCTTGTGGAAATGCACCAGTTTCTTAAGGTAGTTAGCCAATTTTGCGCATACAGTCGTCTTCCCAACTCCTTGTAAGCCAGCCAACAAAATAACAGTTGGACCAGATTTTGCGAAGGTAAGTTCAGACACCTCTCCACCCATCAGTTTTACTAGCTCATCATTCACAATCTGAAAGAAACCACAATCGACTCATTAGAAACCAACGCTCAACATAAACTACCTAGCTTTTCGTTGAAATGAGCAAGAGAATGCTGTATCGTTATATAGCATGCGAAGTTACCTTGACCAATTGCTGATCTGGCTTCACTCCTCGAATAACCCCGACACCAACAGCCTGGTCACTGACAGCTTGCACAAACCTTCTTACAACAGGAAGGCTCACATCAGCTTCCAAAAGGGCCCTCCTTATATCTCTCATAGGCTCCGCAATATTCTCCTTAGTCAAAACCTCTGCAGTACAAAAACCCAGTAATCAGTGTGATCATGCTGTGGAATTTTAAAGGGTTTTTTTACATAGAAGCCCGCGATAACATTACACTTTAGAGAAAAACACTTCAAGGCCAATACTTGAGAAAGAAAAAAAGAAAAAAAATAAAAAAATCATGCCAACCCTTCAACCGGAGAAGCGCGTCAATGAAATTCCACAACTAAGTATCAATTAGAAAATGACAATGTGACTCGTTGAAGGATTTTTTTTCTCTCTCCAATTGAACTCTATAAGAGCTCATTTGGGACTGCTATTATAGGAAGCACTTTTGCTGATACGTGCTTCTTCTAAAGGTGCTTTATTACTTTTAAGCATGCAAAAAAAAACTTTATTAAAAAATTAAAAATCCAAGTGCTTCCTGACAAAACACTTGGAACTTGGAAGTGCTATCTAAAGAAGCACATAGCAAGTGCTTCTTCAGAAAGCGCTTCTACCATTTAATAGTGCTTTTGGTTGTTAAAAAACACTATTAGCCCTTAGCAATCCCAAACAAGTGCTTTTTAATAGAACTCACTTGACCCTAGAAAATTTGATTCAAAATTTTGAAATGCATAAGGAGTAAAAGTGCAAAAAAGTAAAACCTTCGCCTTTGAGCTTGCTCCAAGCCGATTCGAGCCCGCTCGTCAACTGGCCAAACATTTCAGCCCTCACAATCCCCCGCAACTCCTTTCGAGTAATCACAACTTGCTTGGAATTCACCCAACCCCATATCTCTCTCTAACAACAATTCACCAAACACAAATTTATCAACATACAAAAAAAAAAGTACGAAGCTTTCATTGCCGATTCCAAATTCCAAACTATTTTCCCTCGTTTTCTCGGAAAGCAAACAAGATTTAAGGACTTACAGTGAACAAGTTTCTAGAAGTGAGCCAAGCGGGGTTGCGCGGAGCTGTCCAGGAAGAGCCCAGCTTGGCCGTTGGACTCCTCGCCCCCGCGTACTTGGAATCGGAGAAACCTCTGCTGGTGGACACGGAATGCGACGTCGCAGAAAAGTGGCGGGATGCAACGGTCGAGAAATGTACGGCTTCCATCGCCGTTAAGATTTTTCTTTTTTCTGCTTTTTCGGGCCAAAGCTGATTACTCTATCCATGTCTGTTATCTTCTAGTTAGATGGGTGATAAGGTGCTTCGCGCACCAACGCAATTACCGTAGACCCTCAGTATCACGTCCCCTCTCAAATCGATCACGCAGAGCAACGTTTTGAATTGAATTATATTTTGTAAACGTAGTGTTATCTAAATAGCCGTTTTTACTTCTTACACGTTTCTTATTATTTTCGATTATCGGATCAAATAAATTGAAAAAGATCGAAGACAAAAAATAACAAGAGTATATAAAAAGTAAAAATAAATATGTGAATAACATTATCTTTTTTGTAATTTAGCAATTGTCTTCAACTCACTAGCGGCAAAACCAGAAACTTTGGGTAGCAAGCGATTTTGTAACGTTCCAGATTTCTATTTCATTTTAGTGGATTATTATTAAGAAAAACTAATAAAAGTGACTTGAAAACTTTGAGTTTTAACGATAAGGACAAAATAAAAGATAAAATGAATAATACTATATTTGATTTTTTAGTGTAAAAATGTAGTTTTCGTTAAAGTGAACAGTAGCACGGGTTTTTCGTTAAAACTCCCTTACTATTATTTTGAGCTCCGCCTCTACAACTCAGAGCGTTCCGAATTCAAATTCTTTCTTACTCTTGGCAAAGCTTAGAATAGTAATATCATTTATGATAGTGTGCTTAATGCTTACTATTGAAATTCTTGAACAATTTCTTTAATTTTGTCAATTTTTTTTAACGAGATTAATACGCAAATAAAATGTTCTATTTATCTTTATTATTCTTGTCGAGTACTCATAGGCTCATAGCCATGGGGGAGATAAAAACATTATTTTATATTTTATACAAGCAAATCAGGCTAAATTGTAGCAAAGATTCATGATCAATACCACGAAATTAGTTTTCGTTCTTGAACTCTATTAATAGTTTCTCATGTACTCGAATTATGTCATTTGTTGCATTAGTAGTCATTTTCGTTAACTCTGTCAACTTTTCCGTTAAGTTGAGTAGTAGAATAAGAATTTCTTCCAAAAAATAAGAAAACGAATTTTTGAAAGAGAGACTTGGCTCGTCAAGGGTTAAGGAGGAACTCCTCAAAATACCTCGTAACTTAGGGACCGAAGTCGTAGTGATAAAGAACCTGAGGGTTTGCGGAGACTGTCATGTTTATAAAGTCTGAATCGAAAAGGAGGTTTTCGACTCGAAATCATGAGAGAAGTTGAGGTGAAAGGTCGCTATCTTGGCTTGAAGTCCTCATCGGCTTTTGGCTGTTGAACACACAAACACAATGCCAGAGAACAAGTTTCCTACAGGTGTTGGGCGACCTAATTCCGATGATCTCGGTTCTGATTTAGCGGGTTCATGGAACTTCTCTGTGACAATACATGGGTTTGAAGTACAAACTGTTCAAGAGAATCACCGGCTACGAAACCTGATACTAGTGGAGCAAGACGACGAAGATACAGGTACATTGTTCGTAGAAAGAAAGAATTACTTACAAAAATAATCAACAATTCAATCCGCCTATTGGTACGGCCGCATCAGTTCCTGTAACACATTCTTCTTCAACATATGGAATAGTTCTCCGCACCGTCAATTCTATCGGAGCATTTTCTTTGCCTGCAAATAGTTCAAATTATAAAGTAGAATTGGTTTCTCAATCATTTCATTAATCCACAATAAAAATAAAAATCATTAAACAAAAAGAAAGTGAAAGACTCTCACCTCCAACGGTTTTATGTCTTTCCATACAAATGGCAGCATAATGAGAACCGGCCAACTCTAGAAGCGAAAATTGCCAATTTCTTGTGAGGTTCATGGGGCCAAAAGGTTCAACACTTATTTCGGATATCTAACAACAGAGTGAATATTCAAAGGGAGGCCAAAACTTCTTCAAGATAAGTAAATTGCATACTAAAACCAATATTAGACCAGAAGTAATTTTTATATAAGCTATATGCGGAAAGTGAAGACGGTGGAGAATATCCTCGGACTCCATAAAATAACGATAGTAGACCATTGTACTTCAACACTATAGTTGATAATTTCATAGCCAATTCACAGCCAGGGTTATCCCCGGACTCTATATAAAGCGCTTTCAGTTTGATACCCATGGAATATGTTGCAATAAATTTGTGTTTATAAGTCTCTGACATACCTCAGAATCTACATCCCCAGATAAATTGATGCCTCTCTTAGCTGCATCCCTCAATCGAATGGTAAAGGTATTAAACGGAGAAGCAGAGAAGCCCATTCCCAATGCTTTCACATATGCCTCCTGGAAAGGAGAAAGGAGATTGATGGCAATAAGGAAATGCTTGAGAAAAACACAGCCTAGATGTGAAGGTATTATGCGTTTTCAGTATATTCGTGAGCTCGTATTAAATTTTATGGATATCCCAGTTAATTTCAAATGTTTTCCGTCGTTCATCCCCACCCTTGCATATGATCCCTATATAAGTGCTTTTATGAGTTTCTTTTCCCTTGACCAATCTCTGGATATTTTTTTGGAAAATCATACAAACAAAAGTTTCTTACAGAAGTTATCAGATTTTAAGGCTTGCCATTTATACCTCAGTCATGTACCAATTCAAGTGTTCATGTAATGTCAGATTTCATACAACTACAAAAGAGAAACTTGATGGATTATCATTATTCAAGCAGTCTCACAAACCTTGAGAGTCCATAATTTTATAAACTGTTGACGCTGAATTTCAATGTCCGAAATAGAAGATAAATGTTCCACTTCATGAGAAGAAAAGTACCGTCGAGCAAAAGCTAAAATATGGTTCTTCAACTTCCGCTGCTTGTCTTCCACATCTACACCAATCTAAAATAGGAATCAATTCACATAGGTTCAAAATATAATTTCTTCAATAACAATCCGCACTACGCACAATCATAATAAGTATACTTGAATACTCTCAATACATACCGGTGAATCCACAGTTACACCACAAGCTATCAAGGAAGAAGTGTGAGAGAGGTTGAAATGCAACGGTGGTGGCTGCCAGCCATCTGCAATTTGCCACTCTACCTACTCAAGTAAGTTATAAGAACGATTAAAATTTGCTCCAGAAAAAGAGCTCAAACAACATGATTGTAAGAAAAACCAAGTCAAGGAAATGAGAGTATACACAAATTTTCACTAAACATCAATACCTCAGGCTTCCCATGATTGTTCTTTTTAAACTTTACGGATCTCGGATCAACTCGATGGTCTGTCTGATCTCGTATTACACAATACATCCACATTAACCACACAAACAAGAAACAACACAATTAGTCATTTTCTTCAACTTGTATAAGTAAAAATGAGGTGACCAGACCTACATATCTCGAAATCGTAGTGCGAACCAACGCCCGGGCAAGCAATGCTCTTTTCTGGAGCTCAATCCCACGCATGCCCAAAACATTATCTCTCTCAGACGGTGACAGAAGCTCGAAATACCGATTCAAAAGGCCCTCACTCTTCACCTCCTCAGGCAAAACATACCACAAATGACTTTCCCTGCAAAACCCATCATTTTTAAGACGCAAAATTTGAGAATTCGATTTCGAAAAGCTGTAAAATGTGATTGAAAATTGTGGGTTTTGTGGTAAATACACATACATTCGAGAAGGAAGTTGAAGAGGGAGCAGAGAGCAGAAATTGCTATGGAGGGCATGAATGTTCATTATGTAAAATGGTCTGCGTCTGAATGATATCATGCGTGATACAACAATCTGTGACACAAAGAAAACCACGATATGAACACCAAGATATTGAAAGCAAAGCAAATCAAAAAGTTGGGTTACCTCTGAAGAAAGCAATCTAACTTTGCTGAAGAAAGCAACCAACACAAAGAAAAGAAAATTTGCTTTGAAAATTCTTGAAAGATGCTGCTATGAAACATTGATTTGCTCCGACGATGATAGCAAGGACGGGGAGAGGTGGAAACTTGTGGACGTTTGGGTTTTGGGCTCGACGGGTTTTATCACAACATATGGGTCGGGGTTTCTTGACCCAACAACAGCGGCACTAGTCCCACCCACTTTCCTTATTTTCCGAAGGGGTATGATACACCTTTTTAATTTTTAGTAATAGGATCGAATGAATTGAAAAAGATTAACGGACAGAAATTATCAAAAGGTAAAATAGGGTGTGTGAATAGCACACCCCTTTTCCGAATCCACCAGTACAGACGGGTAATTCAAGGAAAATAATCAAACTGAACTGAACCGAAAAAACTCAATTCTTAATTTTTCCGTTTAAAAAGTCGAACCGGATGCCTTGTATGGTGTCAATCCACATACAACTTAATTTTTTTTATGAATCAAATATTAGTGTAGAATATTGTTTGTAATAAAAAAAAAATTAATAAAATTATAGTCGTCTTAACTCTCCTTCACGCTGTTGTAGTCTCCATCTACACCTCCAATGATGTCATCCGAATTGGTGTTTCCCTTAAGAGTTGATTGATGGATCCGTGTAGTGTCTGACCTGAATCTTCAAGCGATGATGAGGCAAACCCAACAAAACAAAACGAATGAGTTCGAGGCGAAACCACATAGACCGAACACAGCCTAGCGAAACTTGTATGTGAGGGGATGTGTCGAATAGGAGTCTCGCATCAAATGTAAGTGAGAGATATTAAGTTAAATTTCTCGTCCCTACTAGAAAATACAGAAAATATTAGAATGGGTTAGAGAAATGTGTACAAGGGACAAGGTTAAGAAGCTTAATCCACAAACAAATGTAAAACACACATCACATCATACAGACAGAGACATACACAATATTTCCACATGGGAGACGCAAATATAACCCAAATCTCCCCAACACCCGAAACCACCTCCAAAACACTCTTCAACGCCAACCTTCAGCCAACTCCGTCCTCGAATTTATGCGGCTAAGAATTCCACTTCTTTTGCTCTTATCTGCAGTCACAGCAGTTTGAATCAGCAGCTGCTCGTTTACCTTCTTGGGCCCCTTCTTCAGATTCGAACCACTTGATTGACCACTTTTGATCTTCCTAATGTTTGGCTGAGCCTCTCTACCTGAACTTGTTAAACCCTCTTCTTGGGGCCCATTTGCCAAAGAGCTAACTTGGGATACAACCTCGCAAGGACAATTATCTGCCAGAAACCAGTTTCCTCCCGGAATGATATTCTTGATAGAAGATAGAAAAGTTTGAGATCCACTTTCGGTTGCGGGATCATTTTGTGTAGAATGAAGGGGGCTCTCTAAATCAGGTTCTTCGCCAACAAATACGCCCTCCTCATTTTCCTTGTTAGCCTCTTCGTTGGCCTCTTTGTGATATGGTTGAAAAGTGCTTTGGTGCTCATCCTCGTCAGAAGGCTCTAGGCGGGGTACAGGGGCTGTTTCCACCAAAGATTCCTCTCTTTCTTTTAGTGTCTTGACAATAAGAGTCTTGAGGAAATTCATCACTTGGACGGCATACATTAATGCAGTCAAAGGATCTACCATCTGCCGAAAATGAAAGTTACAAAGGCTTGTTAAAAATAATTTGACAACATGTGGCTTAAACATATGACAACATGCTGAAACAAGACTATCACATCTAACCCTAAATGGAAACTGAAAAAAGATACTGGATGAAGAAATTTATCACACCGCGTAGTTATCAGATTCCTCATGGTTTTTCCTAGGTGATTCATAACAAGACTGATTTTCGGTCTTAGAACATATTAAGCATGTAACGGAAAACCAAGCATTGCAATAAAATCTCTCTCCAAAAATTATACCTCATCTTATCCCATTCTAATTCATTCTATATATCTTCAAGCTTTAAACATAAAAATTGCCGAATGCATTGATTATTGATAGCCTGATATTTGAGTTAACACATTGGCTCCTACTCTAGTACATAGAACGTGTTGGCATGGATGTCGCTAACAATGAAGATTATGCACGAAATCGGGGTGCGTTTTAACTTTAGACAGTAAAGTTTTCACTCACATGAGTCATGTTTGGTGCAAACACCATGGCAATATTGCGTGCATTCATCTTGTTGAAGTGTTCCATTTGTGCAACATCAGCCATTAGGTTTACTGCCCAATCCAATAACGCAGCTTCTGTTGGAGGTAGGAGCCTAACAAGTTCAGCACACTCTTCTTCTGACTGGGACTGCATTACCTGCTCTGGTGTTAGAGAGTCTAACACACCAGTTGGAAGTTCGCGGAACCAAGCCTGAGAAGCAACAGTACATGAATTTTAACATCAAATGTCATTTTGTGAACTGAAAGCGCTCAAAGATGAGTTCACCCTTTGGTTGACTGTGGGAGGGGACATGGAGCAATGACAGTAAGACGGAAGAAAGAAGAAGACTAGTCATTAACAGACGGTAAAGCCTTACCTTAATAAGACCGGCCAAACAGTGCACGTCAACGCCCTCCGGTATCACTCCCCGATTTAATTGGTCCCTGACGTACTCCTCCTGACTGTTCTCAGCATTAATTCTGAAGATCCCTTCAGCCTGCATGTAAGAGTGAACTTCAGTTTTTATTGAAGATAGTTTGAAACTTTGAATTATAACAAAGTGTCCGAAATTATGTCTTCTAATTACATTCTACCCCGGACGTACTGTAAGAAATGAATATATGCAAAAGAGTGATATACCTGCAGACCCCCTTGTGCATACAAATGTCTCTGCATCAAAATAAGTATTGTTGGGACACTGTTCCCTCTGGCATCAAAAGAAAGCTGCATAGACTCTGTTGAGACCCCAAAAACGTTTGCGCTGCAGATGAAATCAATGTCAGTATAATACTTACCCTTAAAACTTTATTCATGCTGTTAAAATGAAAAACAAAAAAGAAAACAAAACATAAATATACAACAGACTATAAGTATCAATAAAGAACATAGGTGTATCCAATTTTTTTCTTCATCGAAGCCAATGTGCCGAGTCCAGTGCTTATTCTCTAGATTACATGTAGATATAGACTGCAGACCATAGTTGCCAGCACAAACATATTCTCACCTTACTTGAGCCACACAAGGCACCAACTCCTTAACTCATAACAAAACACGCATTTAAATATGAATACCGACAATCATTTCCCACGTATTTGAAATTCAGAAGGGAAAAACAAAATAAGAGCAAAACGAAGCACATTAAACATCGCAGTACTCAAATTTGATGGCACATCGTCGCCACACAGAGTTGAATCGTGATGAAATTCTACTACAACAGACATATTATAATTGGCATCCATTGTTCCTTGTTGATACATGTTGAAGGATAACATTAATGGAATAAAGTACAATAATTGGTGAGTCTTTTGTGAGGAGGAAAAAAATAAAAATAAAAACTTTCTACGGAGCAGAATCAAAGCAAGCAAAGCAGAATAATGCCATGTGCCAACACAGAAACCAAAACAAAAAGACGATTTATCATCGAAAATTTCCAGCAAGGCATAAAAGAACAAAAGAATGCAGCTCCAAAACCCACCCAGAAAACACGTTAGAAATCTTTATCCCCAATACCCCAAATGAAACCCTAACACAGGGATTCCCAATAAAAAATTCAACAAACTCAATTTTTATCAAGATAAAAACTTTCAAGAAACCTAATTATCAGAAACCGAAAACTTTAAAAACCCATCAATCAAAACAGAATTACACATGGAAAAAAAAAAAAACCAATAAAAAAAAGATTGAAAATTTGCAATAGACCTGGCACTCGGAGCCCTCCTGGGGACCTCAGGTTCAAGCTCAACAGGCAATCCAAGAAACCCATTGAAGCGATCAAAGGTGACATGGGCAACATGCCTGACATTCGAAGGCCACCCAATCTCCATGGAAGAAAGCTTCCCTCTTCCACTATCTGCACTATTAGTACTGCTACACCCAATCAAAGACCTCCTGAAAGCAGTGACCAAAAGGGTCACAAGGGAAAGCTGATCACCCTCTCTGTCCCTCTCCTTCCTCTTCCCCTCTCCTTCCTCTTCGTCTTCGCTTTCGTTTTCTTCGTCTTCCTCCGAACCCAAATACCCCTGGAGGGTATCCTCTAAAAGGGCATGTGGGTATGGTGAGTCATTGGGTGTAGGTGGAGCAGCAGCACATGGAGTGGAGGAGCTTGAAGGGGAAGGGAAGTGAGATGGGGACGGCGATTGGAGGACCTCGGTCATGTTTTGGAGGAAAAGGATGCAGTCTTTTGTGATGATTGCTGGGCTAATTAATTGGGGTTTTGACTAAATTTGGATTGTGAAATGTTTGGAGTTGGAGTTGGATTGAAGGAAAGGTTTCGGAGGAGGAGGGTGAGACGTGACTGTCATCACTTTACTTATTTTTCTCATTATTTTTAACATCCGTCATTGATGCTCAACTCAAAGACTGAAGATGTTTAGAGAGAGAACGTGAGGAGAGAGAGAAGGAGAGATTGAGTGCTAGGTTGAGAGATGGGGATGATGGAGTATGAGTAGAGAGAGAGAGAGAGAGAGAGAGAGAGAGCGAGAGAGAGAGAGATGTTGAATTGTTTATTGTTGTGGAGGTCTTTGGACAGATATGCAGGAATAGACGGAAAAGAAAGAGAGGAAGAGGTGGGTGGTGTTCCTGTTTCCACTTCTCAGCAAAGTCATCCAATATTCCAATATATATTACCTGGCTGGATTGGTAAGTGTAAGCTGTTGCCATAGCTAAAAGTTATACGCGCAAATATGAGAGGCTTTGCTCGTTCTTGAGAATGAGTCCAATAGGATTAAGATGTCGTTGTGACAATATTTTAAATTAATTAAGTAATTGTATATAAAATAGTTAAAATGTAATACGTGATTGTCACTCAGTATTACGGTTTAACGGTATTCCTCTTTACTTAGAAGTGAGAGGTCTTAGGTTCGAATCTCGTGAATAGTGAATTCGATACCAAATTAGGCTGCCTATTATGTGGCTTAACGGAACTACCCCTTTCCTTAAATATCGATGTACTAAAAAAAATGTCTCATTAGGCTAGATTGAGATTCATTTTGGAAAAAAAAAAAAAAAAAAAAAAATGTCTCATTAGATTGGATTGAGATTCATTTTGGATCTTCGGGTCCAGAGTTCAAAGATCACGAAATTCGGATCACTCAATTTCAATTATACGACCCTTGTTAGCTCACCTCATTAGCCTACTTCACAAAACTCCAAAAACTTAAAGTGCCTGGATTTCAGAGTCCTTATGCTTTGGACATTGAAATGGGAGGAAATCTAAATCCCATTAGGCCATGTGTGATAACAACTGGAGAGAGCACTTCATTAACCTTCAAAATACAGGAAATTTTTAAGTATATTGTGATTTTCAAGCCCTTATTTACTCCTTATGCACTTCTTTTGTTTTTATTTTCTGATTTTTTTAATTCATTTGACGTAGAGACTTTAACTTATTTAAAATCACCTATTTTAAAAATCTGTCAAATTAATTTAAAGATAAGAATTCCACCTTGACTCTTACTTAGATGATACTAGTTTATGGAGTTAAATCACATTCTTACCAACACCCAAGCGTAATTATGAAAATGGGGACCAAAATCTTAGATGAGATAAAATTGATGCAATGTTGGGACTTTTGTGCCAAAGTGGGGATATTTTTCTCTTTAATTAGTAGTGTGGTAATGTTGCAGGGAATGCAATTAAGATATGATTGAATTATTACCCTTTACCAAGCGTGGTGCCAAAGGGTGGTTGAAGTTGGTACTTAAACTGTCTGGCAAAAGATAGACAATTCGAGCATGAGGTTACACTAAATTACTTTTTTCATTATTTACTCATTGGAATTATATTGTAAACTAGATACACGCTGATAGTTATAAGTGATGAGTTGCACCAGTGGATAACATCTTCTTCTTCATCTTATTACATTTGGAGTAGAATTCTCTCCTCTTCTTTTCTCTTTCCTCTTCTATTCTATTTGAATGGTCATGATTAAGTCACGTCAACTTCTTGTGTTGACTTCTTCATAGAGAGAGAAAGGCAAAGTGAAAAGTGTGAAAGAAGGGAAGAGAAGGGGAGGGGAATTAGAGGGAAGAATCCTAGTTTCCCCTCCAAATCTCATTTCCACCCCCCCCCCTCACCTTCCTCTTTTTATTTCTCTTCCTGTAAAAAAAGTCAACACAAGATGTTTAGTGGCTTAATTATGTCCTTTAACATAAGAAGATACTAAAGAGAAAGGGAATTTGGAGGAGAGAGAATCCTACCCATTGCATTGGCATCTCGGTTCAAACTTTCCTTTTTGTTTAGTCTAGTTTAGAGTAAAAATATTAGTAACTAAATGAAAACACTTTGATGCCACTTAGTATTACAATCTCGTAATATCCATCTTCACTTGTAAATGAGATAAGTGTGAGGCCTTAGGTTCGATTCTCGCCAAATGCGAAGTTGAACCACATTATTATGGCAAACTCATTGTAAGGTTAAGTCCACTCCCCCACTCCTTTAATGTAGATACTATCGTTTGTTCAAAAAAAAAAAAACATATTGATAATTATAAATTATAAATATAATAAATATAATAAAAATATAATAAAAATAAAAAATAAAAAATAAAAAAAAACCCCATTTAGGGAGCTCAGTTGAAGAAAAAAAAACCTATGAACTAGCCACTTCTGGAGTGTTCTAATTGGTTTTTAGATTCAAAATTATTTGTAATGTTCTCATTGAGCACTCAATGGAGTCTTTCATTTATTATTATTTATTTTAAAAATAAAGGCTGACGTGTTTTTTTTTTTTTTCCTAAAGTGTAGCATTATTAAGAACTTACATATCACAATCTAAAATCAGACATAAAACTTATGGTGCAATGATAAATACTCTTAATTCCGTGATTTACATCTGTTACAAAAAGATCCATATTTATGTAAGTAGGCCTCCCAACCGCTTGCACAATTGAACTTTCAAGTTTCAACCCTTCAATAACTTATCCATAATGATCGAGTTGTCCCAATCTTTGTGTATAAATACAGAAAAAGGAAAAGGAAAGGATAAGCAATTAGCAACAACGAAGTACAAGACAAGCAATGACTTGTCTATTTTTTGGTGCAAATTGAAGAGATTTCTATGGTGCTTCCGAATATACGATACTTTAGACTTTTTAATCTTAAATTTTTAAATCTAACTATCCAAAATGTCTAAAATAACGTGTATTTGGAGTATTATAGAATTTCACGCAAATTTAAATCCGTCATAATTTTTTTTAAATAAATGATATTATCTACACTAAAGGAGAAATGATGGGTTTAAACTTACAATGGGCTAATAATAATGTAATTCAAATTCGCCTTTGGCAAGAATTGAACATAAGACATCTCACTTACAAGTGAAGATGAATACAACTAGACCGTAATACTAAGTGGCAAATCTATCACAATCTTTATATCTCAATATTATGTACACCAAACACATGTGCCACGTACAAACTCAGAAGGATTGGTAAATTTTAAAAGGAGAACCTTAGGGTTAGGGGACCATTTCTTCATTTGAGCAGAGCTGGTGAGGTTTTTCTCATCTTACTATATATAAACATGTTATGTGGCCGAGTCATCGATCTAAATCTTACATCCAAACGTGCATTACATGATACGATGCTTCAAACTATACGATTTGACAATTTAGCAATGTAGCATGTTCAGAGCATCTTCAACGAAAAAAGTTAAATTCAGGAAGTTAAGACGGATTTGAGCTTTCTATTTGAACCACCAAATATAAAAATGGGGATATAAAGGGTTTTTACCTTCCAATATAGGAAGCTAAATGGAGTTCCTCCACTTTAAGATGATTGTGTTATCTTACACACTTTTTAGCAACTGCGCCTAAAAAATAAAAAAAAATCAAACAAACGGAGAAAAGTTGGTTATCGGAATCGAACCGATGACCATCGCATTATAAATACGATTTTGTATTTAGACTCTATTTACTCTTTTATTTTTGTGGATAACATCTTCTTCTTCATCTTATTACATTTGGAGTAGGATTCTCTCCTCTTCTTTTCTCTCTCGTCTTCTATTCTATTTGAATGGTCATGATTAAGTCACGTTAACTTCTTGTGTTGACTTCAAAGTGTGAAAAGAGGGAAGAGAATGAGAGGGGAATTGGAGGGGACAAAATCCTAGTCTCCCCTCCAAATCTCCTTCCCCCCCCCCGGTCCCCCCCACTCCCTCACCTTCCTCTTTTTATTTCTCTTCCTATAAAAAAGTCAACACAAGATATTAACGTGGCTTAATTGTTCCGTTAACATAAGAAGGGACTGAAGAGAAGGGGAATTTGGAGGAGAGAGAATCCTACCCATTGCATTTGCATCTCAGTTGAAACTTTCCTTTTTGTTTAGTCTAGTTTAGAGTAAAAATATTAGTAACTAAATGAATCCCCTCCAAATCTCCTTCCCCCCCCCCCCAAACAAAAACTCCCTCACCTTCCTCTTTTTATTTCTCTTCCTATAAAAAAGTCAACACAAGATGTTAACGTGGCTTAATTACGTCCGTTAACATAAGAAGGGACTGAAGAGAAGGAGAATTTGGAGGAGAGAGAATCCTACCCATTGCATTTGCATCTCAATTCAAACTTTCGTTTTTGTTTAGTCTAGTTTAGAGTAAAAATATTAGTAACTAAATGAAAACACATTGATGCCACTTAGTATTACAATCTAGTAGTATTCCTCTTCATTTGTAAGTGAGGTAAGTGAGAGGTCTTAGGTTTGATTTTCGCCAAATGCGAAGTTGAACCACATTATTATGGCAAACTCATTGTAAGGTTAAGTTCACTCCCTCACCCTCTTAATGTAGATACTATCGTCTGTTCTAAAAAAATAAAAATAAAAACATGTTGATAATTATAAATTAAAAATAAATAAATTAAAAAAAAACCATTTAGGGAGCTCAGTTGAAGAAAAAAAAAACCTATGAACTAGCCACTTCTGGAGTGTTCTAATTGATTTTTAGATTCAAAATTATTTGTAATGTTCTCATTGGGCACTCAATGGAGTCTTTCATTTATTATTATTTATTTTAAAAATAAAGGTTAAAACTTATGGTGTAATGATAAATACTCTTAATTACGTGATTTACAGATATGTTACGAAAAGATCCATATTTATGTAAGAAGGCCTCCTAACCGCTTGCACAATTGAACTTTCAAGTTTCAACCCTTCAATAACTTATCCATAATGATCGAGTTGTCCCAATCTTTATGAATAAATACAGAAAAAGAAAAAGGAAAGGATCAGCAATTAGCAACAACGAAGTACAAGACAAGCAACGACTTGTCTATCTTTCGGTGCAAATTGAAGAGATTTCTATGGTGCTTCCGAATATGCGATACTCTAGACTTTTTAATCTTAAATTTTTAAATCTAATGATCCAAAATATCTAAAATAACATGCACTTGGAGTATTATAGAATTTCACACAAATTCAAATCCGTCATAATTTTTTTTAATAAACGATATTATCTACACTACGAAAGAGATGATGGGTTAGACTTACAATGAGCTAATAATAATATGATTCAAATTCGCATTTGGCAAGAATCGAACTTAAGACATCTCACTTACAAGTGAAGATGAATACAACTAGACCGTAATACTAAGTGACAAATCTATCACAATCTTTATATCTCAATATTATGTACACCAAACACATGTGCCACGTACAAACTCAAACGGATTGGTAAATTTTAAAAGGAGAACCTTAGGGTTAGGGGACCATTTCTTCATTTGAGCATAACTGGTGAGGTTTTTCTCATCTTACTGTATATAAACATGTTATGTGTGTCAAGTCATCGATCTAAATCTTACATCCAAACGTGCATTACATGATACGATGCTTCAAACTATACAATTCGACAATTTAGCAATGTAACATGTAGAAGAGCATCTTCAACGAAAAAAGTTAAATTAAGGGAGTTAAGACGGATTTGAGCTTTCCATTTGAACCACCAAATATAAAAATGGGGATATAAAGGGTTTTTACCTTCCAATATAGGGAGCTAAATGGAGTTCCTCCACTTTAAGATGATTGTGTTATCTTACACACTTTTTAGCAACTTCGCCAAAAAAATAAAAAATCAAACAAACAGAGAAAAGTCGGCTATCAGAATCGAACCGATGACCATCGCATTATAAATGCGATGTTGTATTTAGACTCTCTTTACTCTTTTATTTGAGCAGGAACTGTGACAAAGAGTGTTGAAAGTGTGGTAGCTCCACATTTACACCCCAACATGGGAGATGCTCTAATAAGAAAACATTTTTAAACAAACACCTAACGGCCCAATTAGTCCATTTTACGTTTTGAGTTCTTCTTTTTCTACATTTGATTGCATTAAATTCATCTTAATTACGAAGAAGGGAATTCAAACTTAAGCGTACAGGATTGAGCACGCTGTTCTAATCGAAAACTGCTAAAAATGAAAAACGAAAGAGTCACCAAACTTGCATCAAATGTAGCAAACTTAGAATGCACCGTGGCCCGAAAACTGCTTTAAAGTTGTAGGCAAAGCAACCACAAAGCGCATGTCGATAAAGGGAAAGGCAAATGCTGCTTTCAATCCAAGCTTCCTCAGTCGGCATTTTTTAGTTGCCGTTGCCGTTGCCGTTGTCGTTGGCTAATTGTGAAAAAATATGCAAGCATCAAACAAAAGTTGGAAACACCGAAAAAAGTGAGGAAGAAAAAGCAGGTTTAGCGCGTCGTAGTCGAGGCTTTCTCTCGAGCTGTTTTTTTCAGGCAGCAAAAGATGCTTTAGAACTTCCCAGGAGCAAAAACGCAGCTAGCCGTTGTGTGGCATCTTTGCCTCGTTCAAATTCAAAAATAGACAACCGTTAGTGGTTTTCATTCAACCATAGCATGCTCAACAAAGCTTTTGCTTTTTCTATGACCGCCAGTGACACGCAGATTCTGGCTAGGGGTGGACATGTTTTGATTTGGTCTAGTTTTCCAAATGAAACCGCAAACGGAAGCATAGAATATAACCAATTTCGTTCATTTAGGTTTTGCACAATTCATTTGGGTTGGCTCAATTCCGTTTGAGCTCATCCCCATTTGATTTCTTGAATTTTGGGAGCCGAAAAACGAAATTTCGAGAGAGCATTTCCAACAACCAAATCCATAATATAACTTTGTTTAGGTCCTTTGATTGGAGATGAGATATGAATATGAATACGGCGTAACATAACTCATAAAAAATAATTTCTTGCAAAGCTATAATTCTAAATTGGATTATGTTTAGCCCCTTTCGGTTGAAGATAGCCGAAGAATAGAAAGAAAATTTTAAAGATTAACCGGTCCGGTCAAATTCCGATCAAATTAATAAGGCAATAACCCAAACCAAGTCTAACCAGTCTGGTTGAGGTTTTTGAGTCGAAAACCACACCAAACCCATGGGTTCAGACCGGTCTGGTCTGGTCGACAAAATATCATAACCTCTAATTTTGGCATCTTACTATTTTCTAATCATTAACAACCACATATTAAGTTGAATAATAAGCTGTTTTGAACTAATGCACAGAGTGCTCAAGCTTGAACAGTCTGATGGACCAAAACACAAGCAGAACTAGGCTTCCCGAACAATTAGTAAAGTTTTCTTACACAGTGAGAGATCTTATATTTGATTCTCGCCAAAGACGAATTTGAACCACATTAAGAGCCCATGCTCAAAACACATCCCGATGCCTAGTTCTGGCATTCAACATGCATATCAGGCCACCATCCAACTACACAGATATACGTGCAAAAAACGAGCTAACTCAGAGTTCATAAACAAACAAGAGCTCGTCCCAACTCAACTGCAAGGGAGGAGGGAAGCACGCAGTAGCTCGTTTAAATAAGTCCAGAAAGTAGATATTAGCGAGGAGAATAAATTCGAAGTGAGTCATATAATCGACGTCCAGGATGACAATTACATTGTATATTATCACAAGTCAACTAACTGGTATTCCATGACAACCAACACAAGTACATATTACCACAAAATCTCTATGAAAAGGGAATCTAAATATTACCGACAGAAAATACATCGAACTCAAAGGAATGCAAAGCCGGAATCATCACTGCATTTTAGCCACCGGTTCGAGTGCTTCAACTGTAACTACACTATTGCCCCTGATCACCTGCAGAAACAAAAGTTAAGAATTAAGCAAACCAACCAAATTACCAGAACATCTGGCAAATGGCAGTGGAATTATAAAAATAACAAATAAAGGAGAAAACTGGGACCTACCACCATGCCAATTTCATTCTTTTCGTCGCCGTTGACTTCTACGGTGTTGTCAACGACCAGGTTCATGAATTGGTCAAAACCACGGAGGGTTCCAACAACCATGCGATTGGCATTCATCTTGACTGCAATCCAAGACATCAGTTAATTCAGCCATTTCCATTTAAAGTTCTTGTAATGTTGAAGAGAAGAAAATATAAATTCCAACGCATTAGAATCAAGGAAAATTGTTTCTGCAAATTTAAGACATAAGGTCATCCCCAACCGAAGGTTGGCCAGAGGGCTCGTTTTAGCCCTTCAAGAAATTAATATTTTAATGAACAGTGCAGAGTCATATTTCTCACCATCTCCAACCGAGGGCCAAATAGCAATAGGGCCAAACATATTATTTAAATTTAAAAATTTAAAAATTACAACTTAAATTAAATGCACATTTACCATCTCTAATAGGAAGCTTATATTTAGGGCACCCATTATATTTGTCCCACATCGGGAGAGAATTGAGCAAGCAAAAGCTTGCATGTGTGGCACCCATTATATTTGTTCCACATCGGCTCTGGGAGAGGTTTGAGCAATCAAACATGCTTATAAAAGCAACATCCTCACATAGAACCAATTACTTTTCTGGGCCTTAATTAAATATTCTTTTTTAAATTTTGGCCCAAAAAAAAAAAAAAAAACTATAAAAATTCAAAAATAACGGATAGCTAACGTTAGCTAGCCGTTGAGATTCAAATTTTTTAGCCTAGCCCAGGGCCGGCTAGCTCATTTGGGCCGACCAGTTGACCCTTTTTTGTACAGTGGGGCCCACGAGCCATTTGGCCTGGTCCTCGGTTGGAGACGGTTTTAGGGCTATTTTCTACCCTCTAGACCCTTCAGTTGAAGATGGCCTAAGGTTGGCCAAATAACTCGTTTTAGCCCTCTAGTCATCCAAGAAATTAATATATTAATGAACAGTGCAGGGCCATATTCCTTTTCCATCTCCAACCGAGAGTCAAAGGGTCATAAGGCTTGTTTTAGCCTTGTCACAAAAAACCGTCTCCAACCAAGGGCCAAAGGACTATAGTATGGAATCTGCAGAATTAAAATTAAACTAAGCCATAAACCCTAAAGTGGGCTGCGCAATGAAAAAGAACAAAAAAAAAAAAAAAAAAAAAAGGACTAGGTTAATGGAAAAGAACCAAAAAAAAAAAAAAATTTGAAATTGGGCTAGCCAGCGGGTTGGCTGAAAGTGGTCAACCAGTTGGCCCTTTCAGATTATGTGGGGCCCTCTGGCCTAGCTCTCGGTTGGAGACAATTTTCGGGCGTTTTTCGACCCTCTGGACCCTTAGGCCACTCTAACCGAAGGGTCCAAAGGGCCAGATGGAAGAAAATAGCCTTAAAACCATCTCCAACTAAGGGCCAGACCAAAGGGCTTGTGGGCCCCACTGGACATAAAAGGGCCAAGGCCCAACTAGGCAGCCCCGGGCTAGGCTAAAAAATTTGAATCTCAACGACTAGCTGACGTCAGCTACCCCGTTATTTTTGAATTTTTTTTTTCTATATTTTTTTTTGGGCCAAAAATTTAAAAAGAATATTAAATTAAGGCCCAAAAAGGTGATTGGTTCTATGTGGGAATGTTGCTTTTATAAGCATGTTTGATTGCTCAAACCTCTCCACAGCTGATGTGGGACAAATATAATGAGTGCCACATATACAAGCTTTTGCTTGCTCAATTTTCTCCTAATGTGGGACAAATATAATGGGTGCCCCAAATATAAGCTTCTTATTAGGGATGGTAAATGTGCATTTATACATCGTAAATGTGCATTTAGTTTAAGTTGCTGTGGTTTTTAAATTTAAATAATGTGTGGCCCTATGGCTATTTGGCTCTCGATTGCAGATGGTTTTTTGTGACAGGGCTAAAACGAGCCCTATGGCCCTTTGGCCCTCGGTTGGAGATGGTAAGAAATATGGCCATTCACTATTCATTAAAATATTAATTTCTTGGAAGGCCAGAGGGCTAAAACGAGCCATCTGGCCAACCTTCGGTTGGGGATGGCCTAAGGGTTTGACCTTCTACCATTTTCCCCCAAACTTCAACAACTACATACAAAACACCGTAACTCTTCCTATTTAAGCTTTATCCCAAGCACTCCTAGAGAGGGGCAATCTAGCGAAGCAAGAGGGCCAAGTTAATAACTTGATTTTCACACAACGATCCCAGGTGATCAAACATCTACCGTCTAAAAAAATTTCAAAATGCCTAATGATTTTAAAAAGGAGCTACTAAGCCCTTATAAACTCATCATAATATCACGCAAGTAAAGCAACTAATAAGCCCGTATAAAAACAAATGGCATATCCTTGCTAACTAATACAAATGCATCTTTATGTGCTCAGACGGTCAGTGTACAGGCATTAGAAAGTGTCCCAACAAACCCCTACTTGACTAAAAATGTACAAGAATATAAGATCAAACTTTTATTAACGAAAAATTAAACAAAATAAACTTAAGAATGCTGCAAAAATAAAGGCCATCATCAACACGCCAGCTCCCAAATCACACCGGATTAGGAATGCAAAGGCCTCCCCTTTTTTATCATTTTGTTTGAGGCTAGAGAATTAAATGCAGAAATAGGGGAAGGGTTCCAAATCTTTTTTGGTTCCTGTTCAAAATTTCACCTATACCTTTGAGATTAAAAAAAAATTGATTTTCTTATAACGTAGGAGACATCTCTATTTTTCCCCGGGGGGAATCCTTGAAATTACCATGATCAACCATTAACGAGTAATCCTAATGTGGGGAGGTGGAATCTTCTAGTTCTTCCTATTTGCCGTTCACAGCACAGAATTATAGAAACCAAGCTTGAATGTATGTCATGAAACTCAACTTAAAGTTCATGTTCACATCAATTTAGAATTTTATGTTCATTAACAAATTACTTTGACAGTCTGAAATCATGACATTCAACAACAAATTACTGCCAAAGAAAAAACCTAAACGGTCACGCTCACAAACACAAGCATCGTGCCTTTTAAAAATGATAAGATAATAGTAAACCAATCAAAACATAAAAATATGTAGTATTATTATCTTTTGGCCTCAGAATATTTGGTGGTATCAATTACGGTTTCTGTAAAATCTCAGACTTCTTCCAAGAAAGCAAAACAGACAGATCATTTCGTTACTAACTTTTCCACCTAGTATTTAATACCCAGATAACTGAAAATTACGGTTAAATTCAGCTAAATTTTCGTAGCAACCAAACAGAACAGGAATGCAAATCCAGCAGAAGACATAAAATAGAGCAAAATTGAGGAGAAAATGCATCGAAAACTTACTTTGGAGCTTTTTGTCCATGTACCTGTTGAAATAAAAAAGCAACAAATTCGAATTAATTAGCACCCTATTCATTAAAAAAAAATCAAAAAATAACGAAAACAATACAGCAGAGAAACGGAACGACGAAATCGAGCATTCGACACAAAATAAAACTTACTTTTTCAGATCCGGAGGCTGGCCTGATCTGCTCATGGCGAGGAATTAGAGAGAGAGAGAGAGAGAGAGAGAGAGAGGTTTTGGGCGAAGTCGACTTCTGCAAAACCCTAGCGAATGAGATTTCTGGTCTCTTTGGTTTCTATGGGATGTAGGAAACGGGTTTTGATTGAGAGGTGGGCCATAAAAAGCCCAGTAACCGGACACTAGGGCTCAATAAGCCCACAAAAAATGAGAAAAATGTTGGGGTGTTGCGAGAATCGAACTCACGACCTCTCGCACCCGAAGCGAGAATCATACCACTAGACCAAACACCCGTTGTTGGTATTGGTTCGGAAAACAACATACTTAGAACTTGCATGATAAAACTCAAACTTGACAACTTTCATCCGTTTGTACTAAACTGCGGATTGAGATGATTTTACTTCCTTATGACATATGTGTACCCTATATGGCACGTTCTATTAATTCTCTGCCTTGGGGCACGTTTCTTTGTATCTCCAAGCCTAAGAATTGGACGATGCTACTGTGTTGTGATCGTGATCGGCTTTGTTGACTAATGGTTCCGTCCAGAAAGTTTCAGGCCATTCAACCTCGGTTCCACCTTCAAGTCACTCTTACGTTCTAATCACGTCAACAGACGAGAAACTTTTCATCTCCGCTTGTTTATAATTTGTTGTTAGTTGGTGTTATTTCCCCACTGAACGCAGGTTCTTCTCCAAGTTTTTCACGTTCCGATCCCAACACAGTTGTCTTGTTGTAATTTCGAATGTAATTTACAGTGTTGGTTGCTGAAGTTAGACGATTTGGTGTTGGGGTTGGGTTCATGTTATGGTGATTGGTTTCTTGCTTTGGTTGCTGGAGTTTAGTTTTGTCCAAAATTTAGGTACTGATAATTTGATTTAATCTTGAAGATATTGTTATTGGTGTGTCGTTGTTGTGGAAATGATGGACGTGGTGTAGGCAAGGTGTGAAAGTTGGTGTACGTTGAAGTTCAAGTGTGAGCGGTGCTCCTTTTTTCTTATCCCGAGTTTGTCCAACGTGGTATTTTTTGGGAAGGTTTTTTACTGAGCGCACCATTGATTAGCTTCATGTTCTTTTCTTGGAAGAAGTTTGTATTTTATGGTTAGTTACGTTGGTATTTGTATGACTTTTTTGTTTGTTACGTCTCATGATGTTAATCAGGAAGCGTGTCTTTTAATTAAAACACAACCTTAGTTTTTTATATTCAGTTTGGGTTTGGATAGATTTGTTATTCTATGTACTATCTTATGATATTTAATAAAGTATCAAATTCATATAAAAAATAAATAAATAAAACCAATATTCTTGTTGCTCGCAAGAAGCTTATATATGGCTTGGTGTTGTAAATATTATTTATTATGTGGCTGTTCATTTATGGGTCAATATGTAATTTGTCAAGACTTTTCTACGTAAATCTTAAGTCTATAAATTGACACTCTAATGAGAAGGAAAAGACACTTTGATTTTTCCTCCCAATCTCTCTCTCGTCTCTCCTTGTTCTCCCTTACTCTACACTTTATTTTTAATAGTTGGTTAATAATAAGGAAAATTAATAAAAATGGTTTGAAAACTTTGAATTTTAACGATAAATACAAAATAAAGAATAAAGTGAATAGTACCAAGATTGACTTTTTAGTGTAAAAATGTAGTTTTTCGTTAAAGTGAATAGTACCGGAAGTTTTTCGTTAAAGTTTCCATGATAATATTGATCTCGAGTCATGCGTCCGGCTCCTCCCTTATATAATTTGTATTAAAAAAAAAAAAAATTTATTAGCACTTCAAAAATCTCATTCTACGTTGCTCACAAGTGTATTTTTCTTTCTAATTATAAAAAGTTTGAAATGCCAAATAAAATTTTTGAAGTGTTAATAATAATTCAAAAAAAAAAAAAAAAACTAATATTTCAAATGCTAACGGGAAACGTTATTCCAATGACATAGAGAGACCTTGACAAACCTAGGTCTCCGATAAGCCTCCTGGAACTAGAAGACATGGGGTGAAAGCTAATCGACAACCACGCTTCCCTCAACTTTGTCCCCACAAAATTGGGCATCTTTTGAAACGAACGAACACTTTTGTTCTTATGTTCAACTATTTCAATTGTGTGATATTTCTAACTTAAAGACTAAGAAAGTCAAAATTGAATACTAAAGTTTTGGAAGATTTTTGGTTGTCCACATAGATATATCCATCTTCTTATATCGCTCATTATATGATTAAGAAAAACTGATTTATTCAATCATATGCAAGCATCAAACATCTCTCCATGACTTGGAGAAATTCTTATGTTTGGCGATCATACTTGTTCAAATCTAAATGATACGCAAACACATTAAAACACATTTCTTTGTAAGTGAGTCAAATGATCAGCATTATTTTACTGTCGGACGCAAGAATTTCTCCACTACTCAACACAGACATTTGTGGACACTTGTTTATTAAATTGTTTATGTATTCCTTTCGTTGAATTTAAATTTTTCAAAAGGTGTCCTTGGTGACTGGAGTACATTTTTTACGTACAAATGGATGTCATGGCCCAAATAAACAAGGGGTTTTTTGAAATGGGTCTAAAGTAACTAAAAATTAGACCTATTTCAAAAGTCAAAAGTCACTAAAAATTAGACCTATTTCAAAAGGTAGTCTATAAAATTGGACCTATTTCAAATTTTCCCAATAAAACAACTCAAAGTATGACTCTTAGGCCTGGTCAATGCATACTGTTCCAAAGTCTTGAAGTATGATTCTTAGGCCTGTTCAAAGTCTTCTTTTTAAAATTTGACAATACATGTTAAACCTTCTAACATGTATTGTCAAATGCCGAAGTGGGTCATTAGGCGTTTTTGAATTAAGGAAATTCTTTGAGATCGCACTACTTTCTTCCATTTACTTTACTTGAAAAATCTAGAATCAGATGAATTAGGATAGACTAGTTGATCGATCTCATTCACATTTTCGATTCATGACTTTTCTTATTCTAAGTAAATATGCAATATGTAGAAAATTTTCTCAGTGATAATGTTTATTTATAATGATGAGAATGCAAAGTGTAAGTGTTATTCTCATTCTTTAACATATCATGCATTTACTAACCAGATGTTATTACTGAGGGGATTGTTTATCTCATACTTGAACAACTAGGTCACATTCCCGTATCATCCTTGTATTATTCTCATACTTGAAAAAGTACATAAAGAACACATATGTCAACGTTTTATCTAAATTATACATTTTAAACTATTCTAACCTATGTAAAAGTGATTTAAACTTGAAAACAAAAAACAGGCACATTACGCTTTGTAATAGCGTAATTGAACTAACTTATATATGTCAAAACTCTATAATATCTTTGCTTGTGAGATTAATTGCTCTAAACAGTTATGTTTGGATCAAATAATTGCTCTAAACTGTTAAGAAGTCAGAAACAAATGGGGAGAAAGAGAATTATTATTACGACTATAGATTAGCATTTTAAAAAGTCAAAGGAGACTCCTTCTGAGACATTCCCCCCACTCCCATAAATCTCATATAAAATCCTCTATCCCACCCACCACCATTTCCCAATCTCCACTAACCAAAATCATGAAGCCACTCCCTCCTCCTTAGCCTTCTCAACCTCCACCACCTCCAATCTCCACCCACCTCTCTCTCTCTTCTCCCCTCTCTCTAAACCTTAAAAAACTAAACCAAAATGCTTCGAAAAAAGATGGTGAGTTTCAAAGAGCTAGCAAAGAAAGTGAAGGTCATGGGAGGAGCTGAGAGAGAGCCATCACACCATGAGTATCTGCTGAGGAATTCAGAGCAAGGAGGCTCTCCGTCGGCGCAAACGCGGACTGGGTTTTTGGCCCTGTATGTAGGGGAGGAGCGCCAGAGGTTTCTGGTGCCAACAAGCTCCCTTTCTCATCCACTCTTCAAGATGCTGCTGGAGAAAGCTTACAACGAGTACGGCTTTCAGCAGAGATATGGGCTTGTGGTGCCCTGCAGCGTCTCAGCTTTTGAGGAGGTTTTGAATGCTGTGGAATGCAGCAACGGCAAGTTTGATTTTGGTGAACTTGCTGAGGAGTTTATTTCATGAGTAAAAAATATGTGTTTTCTTTTTGTACGAGAAATACTGAAAGAGAGATAAATCGAAATCGAGACCTCAAGTGCTAGTAACATAGGGTGATCGGGCCAGGCCGAGTCAGAAAGGTTTTGATTGCATGAGGTGAATACTCTTAATTAAACTGAACTACGAGCCGTTAAAAGTAAAGCGTTATGTTTAGATGCTTTTTTTTATTAGTGATAGTGTTTAGCTTAGTGATTATGGGTTTATAATTTCAAGTATGTACTAGAATATGTTCGTATTACATATTAAACATTGCTCACTATGTTCCTTAATCTCTCTTAATACAATTAATTGAAATTCTCAGTTCAACTTCTACAATTTGACCTCTAAGTTGTGGTCTTTAGAACGAAGGACAAGACAATTGACGTGGCAAACCTACTTTTCCTTCCACATCAACATTTTATCTTCCAAAGGATGAAGGCAAGCGTCTAAAGGAAATTTGCCTCAACGGGTTTAGCGGCAAGGCAACACATTGCTTTGTTGACAAGGTGAAGGCAAATAGAGACCCATTTTTTATATTATTATTTAGAACATGATTTATATGTATGTCATGAAGCGACGTTGTCTGGGTGTTTGGTTAAGAAAAATGACTTTTGCACTCTCATTTCATTCTCCTAAACGTTTTGCCTGTTTTTGTCTATTGATTTATTGCTGATTCATTTAATCTTGTGGCTAAAGCAAGAAGGAAAGTGTAAGAAAATTAAAAAGAGTTGTGGAAATCATTTCGTTTTGCTTCATTAGTTGCCTCATCACTTAGAGTGACAAGGTAAAATTTGAGGCACCTGTATTTTGATGATCCATATGAACTTTCTTTAGTATTTGCCTCATGAAAAATTTGTCACTCTAAGCAACGAGGCAAATACTGAAAGCAAAAGTTCACATGGATCATCACAGCACATGTGACTCAAAAAATTACCTTGTCCCTTGGAGATGCTCCAAGATCACTTAATAAGGTTGCAGGTGCTGTGGAGCTAATTCTGCAGATTTTCTACCACATTGAATATAGAGGCCAAATTTACGGTGCAGAAGGAAGTTGTATGACTTGCAAAAGGGAAATTTAGACATGATGGGTTGGTATGTTGCCCGGGATTGGATTGGAGTTGGATAACTCTCTAAATTCAATGTGTGTTGAAGGAAGAATGAGTAAATTTTCCAACTTGGAAGTAGGAGATGGATGAAACTTATCCCATCCAATCGCTAGAAAATGGTAGGTTTAGAAGAGATAAGTTTCCTTCCTGTCTAATCCCTTGCATTCGACTCGGAAAAAAAGAAAATCATTCACTTCTACCTCCACACATACCTTGAATTATATAAGAATACAAAACCTAATACAACAACATATAACATGAGTACACCACCACTGTGGCAATAATATGACGCCGTGTGTAAAGGTTTTTACACATGGCATCGTATCATTGTCATAAGCCGTCACAATTGCTGTGTACCTGTGCCATGGAATTCCTTCTTCAATCCTAGGCACCACATGAGATAGCCCAAGACTGGACTGTTTCTCATGATGCATCAGAGATTCTGAATAAAAGAGCAATTCATACAGTTGGGCATCTTTGTAGGAAACAAATTTTGTTGTCCATTTTATTGCAGACCATCATACTACACCACCAAGTACAAGTTTGAACAATGAACTTTCCAGGGAGAAGGAGAACCTGGTAATAAACTGTAAACCCGGTGAACTGACGGGTTGGCCTCTTATAGGGCCTTCTCATCCTTCATTGGAAAGCTGTATAGCCCTGGCCAATGGGCACATGCCACCCTTGATTAAGATCATAAAACAACCTAGCTCTCACTCTCAACATCCTTACAACCGTCCACAAGAATGCTCTTCATGCGGTCCATTAAGTCCTGCATTTGTTCCCTCGAATGCAATGGAGACGGATAAACACAAGCACAGTTCAAGCATCCATCACGTACGGTGTCGAAAATGGCTATGGAGGGGCCAACTCCATGGACTGAAGCGCAACCCTCATAGTCCTCAACCCCAAGCTCTTTGTTGACTTCACTAGACTCATCAATCACGGTGTCCTCAAACACTGAGATAAAGGCAGTTCTCATTGCCGATGATGGGGTCAAGCCAGGGTTTTCAATAGCCTTGCACATGAGAAAGTTGAGGTCTGCCATGTCCGTGAAATGCTTGTTAGAGTTCTTGGCACCGGCAAAGGACATGTAGCATCTCTTTGCCAGATCCCACAATGTATTGCCTTCTCCGTTGATGTCATGCGTGTTCATGATGGCAGAATGATAAAACCCTGAATCAATTAGTGATGCATGCCAATCTTATTTCACCAGCACTTTTATTATTGACAATTTGACATTGTATTCTCATCAATGATCAGTGACTTTTAAAAACTGAAATTTAATTGTCAAAAATTCGATTGAAGGTAAAAGTAAGCAATGGCTTACCGAGATGATTGATAGAGAGGGGTGGATCAAGAATTGGCCGACAATCGAGTAGGGTTACAACACCATACTTCTCCCATTGATGATCGGGAAGCTGCTTAGAGGCACGGGCAGCAATCATTCCAGCAGCTGCCAAGGCTCCGCATAATTTTATATCTCTAGACTTACAACCCTGCAGTTCAAGTCACCAATAAAGCAACCAATAAGTAATCTAACAACACCATCAGTCACAATTCTTGACATTTTCGAGTTATAACAAATCAACAAATTTGCATTGACAATTACTTAGTTTATATAGAACCATAGATGTAGAAGTACAAAAGAGAGCTCTAGTCTTAAGTTTATAATAATTCACAAGTATGTGTATAACCCGAAAATGTTTGTATGGTTCACTTAATACGAAGCTTGATTGTATGTTATGATTAAGTAAATGGGTTGATTAGAACGATTTATGAGTGCACCAACAAATTTTCAAGTAACATCACTTGAGCATAAGATTGTCCTTCCTACTTACAGACATGAGTCCATGATGAACCCAAGGATATGGAGAAAAACTTCCGTAGCAGTTGTATGCGTAGGTCTGGTCACATAAAACGGACACATAATTATACACAACCGGCTACAATTAAAATTTTCATCACAGATGTGACGCATTATGCGCAACTGACAAGCAGCAGAAAAACGAGTAGTCCACATACTTTCTTATGGAAGAAGGACAAATCATCATGCCCATGATGCCCATTCCTACCACTCCAAAGGCTTACACATGACAAGGGTTTGATGCGACAGTGGACCAAACGACTAGTCGTATAGCCCACAGGACCGCGACCCATTTCCATTCTCAATATGGAGCCCATCTCAGATCATTGTTAATTTTGTTACCTCTTTTGTTTCTGCAACAGCACAAATGAACCCACTCGGTTGCTGATACGATATTTCTTTTCACTTGTAAATAAGATGTTTTAAATTTTACTCTCATTGATAGCAAGTTCGATACTGAATTATTGTAGTAGACTCATTGTGAGATTTAGCCGAAATTCTTCTTTTGTATTTTATTTTATTGTTATATTAAAAAAACAGAAAAAATACACCCTATACTTAAGTGGTCACGTGTCAATAAACAGGGGATAGTCTAATCAGAGTAGATGGATTATTAAATTGCCGTTAAAATTAGGGTCATGCGCCGTTACATTTTATAAGGCAACCTACTTTTATGTCCTTTTCAAACTCATGCATGCAATGACCCTTCTATCTCTAACAAAAATACATAAACTAATTAAAAAAACTAAAATAATATCGATAAAGCACAAATATTCTGTTGATCTAATAAAAAATTGCGTAATTATTTATGTTTAAATGTGATATTAAAAGTGTAGAATAATGCATATTTGTGTAATTTCATTGTTTAATGTTAAATTTAACGGTAAATAACGATGATCAAGAGAAGGTGACTCAAAAATCGAAAACGACTTACAGCGAGCAGCCTATCGGTATCTTCTGGGCTCAACTGTAATTTCACCACCTGGGATCGCCTTTCGGCACTCGCGTCTTGGAACTCCAGGTTCGACAGCCTCAGCGAATTCAAAGAGTACCCCAGCATGTCCACCCCACGCGCCCAAAACGGCTTATTCGCCTTCCCGTTCGGGATCAAATCTTCTATTCCCAAACTCACCTCCCCGTCTCCCTTTAATTCCCTCTCTGCCCCTCCTCCCCCCGTTGACTTCAACTCCCCCAGCAGCTCCTTCAGCACCGCCACGGCCGCCGCGCGGTCGCATGCTGCCGTGTGCAGGCGGAGCACCAGTACCCACCGCGACTCGCTTATCGCGTACGTGCTCGCATACATCACGTCCGTGTCGGATTCCAACGAGGGGTCGAGGTTTTGCCACGTGTTCAAGTTCATCTCGTGCTCGAGGATCTGATGCAACGGGGCGATATTGTCGGGGTTGATTTGGAGAATGGGAGCCGTTGATGGGAGATCGAACGGCTGGATTTGGAGGTGAGGGGTGGGGGGAGTGAGGAAGGAGTAGTTACCGGTGGCGGGGTCGAATTGGTGTTTCGAGCGGAGGATGGGGTGGGAATTTTGGAGGTTGTGGAGGGCAGTTTGGAGATTTGAGAAGTTTGGGGGTCTCGAGAGGAGGAGGGCTAGGACTGTTATGCCGGTGCCGCTAGGAACGGCTTTGCACCAGCTGAGCTCAGTCCCGCCGACGGGTCGGGTCTTGGGCTCCGGCATTGCTGGTGGGTTGGGGTTTTGATGATCCGACTCCGACATGTTGGAATGCGAGAGATTAGATGAGTAAAAAAATTAGTTGGGGAAATGTTGGGTCCGTTGGGATATAAAGGAGGAACATTATGAGAAAATAAAAGACCACGTTTTATTTATTTATTCATTTATTTTCAACACATAGAAACTAGAAAGTAAAAGACCATTGGCTCCTCAATGCATAGTGAGGAGTTCATCCTCAACTAATTACGTAGCCGATTCATGAAATCGAAATCGTTTATATTTTAGATTCCTATGCAACGATTATTTTTACAAAAAAATTAAATAAATATAATGAATTTGTAAAATTATAAACCGTGTATTTGTTTACAACAATTAATTGATTAACAACTTTAATTTAAATTCTTTTTATATATAATGTTTACAATATAAATTTATAATATAAACTGTTCGGATCATAAACTCAAAATTGTGTTTTGTGTGGTTTTAAGTATTTTTCTGTATTTATGGGTCAACTTTTGTGTGCATTTCAGTCTAATTCTTAATATTTGGTACATTTTCATATTATTATTTTGGGGATACCTGGGCCCGTAGGGATATGCTAATCCTGGAAAAGAGTATGTGTGCTTTATTTTTGGTAAGTGTTATGTTCTAAATGGTAATTACGACCAAGGTTTATACCATTCATTTTTCATTTAGTAGCAATTATACGAACATTTATTTGCCAAGATACGTACACATTATTTGCCACATCAAATGGTAGATCAATGTCATATGAACATGTGGTCTCCTTAACATGTTCTTTTAAAGAGATGACAATGTATATTGTAATGAGATGACCATTGTGGCTAGGTAAATTCGTGGCCTAACTTTTGGGGAAGTTTTTCAATGCACGAAAAATGTCGTGAAGTCAAGAATTGTGTGAGGAAAGACGAAATTTAAAAAGGTAAAAGGTTCAAAAAAAAATTTAGATAACCAAATGCTTATTGTGACATCCCACATCGCCCAGGAGAGTGATCCTTAAATGTATATTCTCATCCCTACTTAGCACGAGGCATTTTGGGAGCTCACTGGCTTCGGGTTCCGTAGGAACTCCGAAGTTAAGCGAGAAGGGGGCTTGAGCAATCCCATGATGGGTGACCCACTGGGAAGTTGCTCGTGAGTTCCCAAAAACAAAACTGTGAGGGAATGGTAAGCCCAAAGCGGACAATATCATGCTACGGTGGTGGAGCGGGCCCGGGAAGTGATCCCCCTCGGGCCGGGATGTGACACTTTTAGCATGAGGGAATGGTAAGCCCAAAGCGGACAATATCATGCTACGGTGGTGGAGCGGGCCCGGGAAGTGATCCCCCTCGGGCCGGGATGTGACACTTTTAGCATGAGATTAAAAAACAAAAATTTAACACATGCATAGCGCAGCACTATGGCAAGTCTACAACAAGAAAGTTTTAAATATCGATTTTTACGAAAATATCGGCATATATTCTATTTCGATATCGATAGACATTTGGAAAAAATATTTTACAGATGCACTCAAATATGTTGTATAAAAATTAGGTAGTTCGTATATCATATATTTCATTATATAACATATTGTCTAACTACTACTAATTGACCCAATACGTTCAAGTTATAGTTGACAAAAAAAAAAAAAAAAAAAAAAAAAGAGGCCGATCAAATTTTTGGTTTTGGGCTAAAAAATTGTGGAAATTTTGGTCGATATAATCGATTTTGTGGATATTGACAGATATTTGCCCAAAATTGCCGACATGGAGAAGAAAAGATTTCGTTGAACACTTGCTATGCATATTCGGAGGGGCAAATTCCTCGCTCTTCATAGAGATTTTCGATAATATAGGTGTGGCCACATTTCCTTGCATTGTTTGTGGCTTCACCACTGCACTCAACACACCGTCATGCGGTGTTAATCTCTACTCATATTATGAAGTACGTGAGGTGATACACAATGTGACAAGTGTTTTCTATACACCAAAATTCATTCAATATTTAAGTTTTACCTTTTATGTCTGATTCCTGTGACAATTGTATAAGCACTTCAAAATGATCGTACACCATCATATATACAATTATATGGACATGGGAATGATTTAACCCATCATATGAGACCCCTATCCATGAAAAATCATCGGAACTCAATCTTAACGGAGTTGACGGGATATGGGTGTGGCATAGAATGAGATCGTCATTATTTATTTTTGGTTTTTCAATTAAAATTGTTTTTGAGATTTGTATAACTCTTCATTTTAGTCCTTGAGATTTAAAATCAATACAAGTGGTTCATGAGATTGTCCATCATCAATCATTTTGGTCTTTCCGTGAATAGTTATGTTAAATAAAGATTAAAATGACAAAACTACCCTCAATTTAATAAACAATAAGCTAAAATGATTTGACAAAAATTGAGTATTTTTGTTATTTTATTTTTATTTAATGTAGATTTTTCACGGAATCATCAAAATGATTGATGGTGGACAAACGTAGGGACAAATTCTATCGATTTCAAATCTCACAGACCATTTTAGATAAAGAAGTTTTTATTTTCAGTTTCTTCCAATATCTCAAATTCATATGGGTTCCAAATAATTCATTTTCCAAAGTCGTGATGATATGTTCATCCTTTTCTTATCCACATATCGCTCTCATGTAAGTGTGACCATACATAGGACCATAACATCAGTTAAGTATGTTGTCTATATATGAAGAAAATTCAGTTTCGTTTAAAATTAAACTCTGATTTAAAGGATTTGGACAATGTTGTAAAAAGAACTTGTAGTGATTTCATTCATTTTCGAGTAATACTATACTTACCTATTATTTGTACTATCTTTCTAATAAATGTAGAGCTCACCAATACATGTGACACAAATATACAGTATATTAGTCAATTTGTCTTCAGTGCACACCAAGATATCTTCCATATAATTAACCTAATAAAGAAGTTGACTAAAAAAAAAAAAAGTAAGACCTAATCAAGAAGATTTAGGGTTTAGGGTGAACCTAATCATCAGGCAATGAACCTAGTCTTTCAGATTACGGAGAGATTTAGGAAGTGTGAAACAATCACGCTAATAAATAGTAAATAAAATAATGGTTCAAATCTCAAAATTAAAGTCACTTAGTATTACGGTCTAGTAGTATTTTTCTTCACTTGTAAGTAAGAGGTTTTAGGTTCGATTCCAGGCGTATTAGAACCATATTATTATTAGCTCATTGTGAGGCTCAGCCGCCTCCCCCACCCTTTTAGATAGGCCTGACAAATGGGTTGTGTTTAATGTTTTCGTATAACACCTGTTATCTTAATGGGTTCTTAACATGTTGGGTCACTTTACCGCCCCGTTAAGAAATTTTTTTTTTTCTTTCTAAATTTGCACATACCACCTTACTGTGTAAATATTACTTTATAACATAAAAACACATTTGTTGTTAAGTACTACATCTATATACTCCAAAATAAGAGCTTAATAAAAAAACATCAATACACTATTAGTCTACTGCAAAATATCAAATGTGTAAGAATATGCAAAATGAAAGAGTTTTTCTTTTCAAGGTTGTGAAGCCTTTCTAAGAAGTTAAAACAAAATACATATAAAAAAAAAATATTAACAAAAACAAAAGGTTAACGCAAGCTTAGAGACAATCGGTATGGTGGAGGAAGACTTGAGAGGTGGTCGTGGACTCGTGGCCGAATTTGAGGTTCGAGACTAAGATGAGAGAGAGAGAGAGAGAGAGAGAACGGCTACTTCAATTTGAGCCTTCGCCATTGAGAATGAAAGAGAGAGAGTGCAAAGTTCAATCGAACCGGTTGTTTTTATATTAGAGAGTGCAAAGTTTTGAGTCTATATTCATAGCAAAAAATAGTCTCTCCACCAAAGCCGTTGTAAGCGGTAATATCAAAACCAATGTAAATGCTTACATTGGCTAGGATTAGATTCTGAAAAACGTTAGGCGCTAGTTAGACAGCGGACTGAGGTCTTGTAGTTAGGCGCCTAGACGAGATCTAGGCAGGAGCTTAGATGGATTTAAATGAGTTTCTTTTATCGTAAAATAAGCATTAAACAATATTTGCATTATTTTTTAAAAAATAATACAATATTTTAGATAATGTGAGAGTTTAAGATAAAGGATAATACTTGGGACAATACTTACTCACCATTCAGTACCAATTTTACTCACTAGACTTCATGGCCCAATTAAATTACGACAACTGTCATTCTCAACCCTCTATCCAAACAACAACATATCTACTATTCTAGCAACCAAACACTTTAGATATCACCCTTAATACCTCTTCTCTGTGGCCCCCGAATACACCTTGCCCAATCCCTTCCTTCTTCGGCGACCCCAATGCCAATGACCTCCACCATCTCCACCAGAATCATAATTAGGAGACTAAAAGCGTCGTCGCTAGAAGCAGAGGCGTCCAACTCTCGCCGTTGAAGCAAGCCAGCACCGACGACCTCTTCATTCCGCTGCTTAACTTGTCCATGGACAATAATTTGGGATTTTTTATTTTTTTATTTTGTAGTTTTAATCGTTCTTATCCTATGTCAATTGATGTTATTGCCTATCATGTTTTGCACAGGAATCAAACTGTGTGTTTGTATAAGATATGTACTATGATGAGCATCAATTTTATGGTGGAGATGAATCGATGCAAGAGTTTTCTTTTGGCTTTAATTTTTCTTTAGTTGTCACTATTTGGTATAGGGAATATCAAACTGATTAGCCTTCATCTTCTTTGCAAGTTCCGCTGCTCTGCAACAACTTTTTTTTTAATTTTTTAATTTTTTTTAAGATTTCTTTTTCAAATCTAAAAAAAAAAAAAAAAAAAAAAAAAAAAAAAACCCAGCCCTGCTGCAGAAACCAGATCACCGGAGCAGGAATTCTCACTTTCGGCAAGAGCGGAGGGGCTAAAGCAATGCTCCTAGGCGTGTTTTCCAGCGAGGGGAGGGGCGGCCGCCACTCCTCGCCCTCACGTAGCTTCGCCACTGAACCGGAAGGGTGGCATGATATCATCAAAAGTGGTGTCATCCATTCTATTTGAGCAAATTTCTTCCAACT